CAAAATTTTAAATGCAGTTTTTATGTAATAGTTAAAATATTTAACACATATGACCATATGATCACAGTTATTGTTTCTGAGTTTAACCAAGGTTACCTCAGCCTGGATTAGTCATCCTTTTCCCACAGAAATTAATAGCTCAAGTTAGTCAGGACAAGTTTAACTTACATGTATTTCAAAGACTGACTCTGGAACCAGCCCAATAGCTGAATGAAAGTCACAAATGAGCTTTGTAATAGAGTAGGGATTTGAAGTCGGGTCACTCAATTTAAAGGAACACTAGGCATGTTGTTTTCGAGTTATTTAATCACTCCTGTTTCTTTGTGACTTGCTGGATTGTGTATCAGTAACTGCTTCTTTGAATTCCTGTAAACTCTCATGCTTGTGACATCAGTAATAGTATCTATCCACATTGTTTTTGATATTTTTTCATTGCCTTCAATTTTTCCAGGGATCAGGATCTTGTCCGAGAACTCTTACTTATGCCCTCAACAGTTGTAAGCTTTAGCTTTACAATTTACAATTTACAATTTAGTAAATTCAGAGAGCAATCTGTTTTACTTCATAAAGCATTTGTCCTGCTCTGATTTGAAGTACTCTTAACAATTTTCTTCAGCACCTCAATTCAAAGGCCTTAAATTTGTCTTTGTCCAGCTTTTCAGATGGTACAGCTTTCAAAGCCATATGTTCCTACTGAGAAAGCCATCAGCTTTGTTAACAGTGTCTGATGTTGCTGCATTCAGGCATAAAATGCTACTATTTGCTTTGTATATAGTCTGGACTGCAAGATGAAAAGAACACACTGAAGAAAAAAATAGAATTGCGAGTACATAAGCTCATATTCTGAATAATTTTCAAAACATCTGAAATAATCAATCACAAATAATAAGTTGATGGAAAATCATATGGTAGATCCAAATGTATAGTTTTGGCTAGTTATTTTGTTTGAATTGTTCTTTGCAACCATCAGGTATTCTATGATTATTTTTATGCTGTTTTGTAGAAGAAAATAGAACTGCATGCAATTCTGTTATAATCAGCAGGAATATTCTTGGATTCAAATATTACAAATGTTCTTACAAATATTCTCTTCCATCAATTTTGGGATCCATTAAAGTTTTTTTCCCTATTTTTCAAAAGATATTAAAAAAAGAAAAGTGTAGATGGAATGAAAAATCTAGAATAATCATTCCATAGATTAGATTGATGATTTATTTACTATTATCTCAAAAATATATTTTAAAACTATTAGAAATCTATTTAGATGTCTTAAATTTTATACTACAGTGTACAAAATCACAAAGTTGCATTTCAATTTACAAATTTATGAAAGTAATTTACAAAAAAAAAATGGATCTTAAACAGCCTAATAATATGTACCCTGTTTCCCCCAAAAGAAGACATCAACTGATAATAAGCCCAATCGGGCTTTTGAGCACATGGCAATAAAGCCAAATACTTATTTTAGGGTTAAAAAAAATATAAGACAGAGTCTTGTTTTCGGGGAAATATGGTATTGAAATTTAATTATAGTATGAAATGATCTAATATGAATCTTTAAATGTACCAGAGTCCCAATAATAATTCTGATTCCAATTATGTTTATACCTTGAAAAATATTTGTTCCCAAAGCATTTTTTATAAAAACAGTTGCATTTATCATTGAAGTACATGAAGTTTTTTACTTTTCTTGTTGTTGATAGTGAATATATATTTTGAGAACCCTATGAATTTAATTTTATTTATTTAGTGTATATTTAATCCCCAGTGTGAGTTTTTCACTTGAGATATGGGTAAATGTTTGCTGTTACATATTTTTTATGATCTTCCCAATATGTATTATAGAGCTCTAAAATAATAGTCATTTGAAATGAAATGAACGTTCAAGAAAAATGTTAATTATGAGGTCTTCATAGACCTCTATTATTTATCATACAGTCAGAAAGATATATAATTAAAGGGAAAACTACCACAATTTGTATTTTACAGTAACATGTTGTTTTGTTTTTGTTAGCATTTTAAAAAAAACAAAGGTAAGTGAATTTGTGGTTCTAAGGTAGTTAAGCTCCCCCCCCCTCCATTCAATCCTATCTGAATCTTGGAGACTGCCTGGACAAGTCCCTGCGGTTTTCTTAGTAAGATTTTTCAGAAGTGATTTGCCATTGTCTCTTCTAGAGCTGAGAGAAAGTGACTGACCCAATGTTACCCAGATGGCTTTGTGGCTAAGATGGATTAGAACTCACAGTATCTAGTCTGATGCCTTAATCACTATACCAAACTGATTATAGATAACCTATATAAATAGTTAAGATATAAGAGGACATATTAACAATCTGTTCTTCCCAATTAACACTCAATTATTAAACATTGTCATCTTATTTACTTTCTCAGTCATGAGATCTAAAATCTAATTTCTAGCTAGAACACTGACCTATCAAATATTTGCTTTTGTAAATACCTGGTTATTCAGCCACTATAATATCAATTAATCAATCAGAACAGAGTTGGAAGAAACCTTGGAGGTCTTCTAGTCCAATCCCCTGCTCAAGCAGGAGATCTTATACCATTTCAGACAAGTGACTGTCCAGTCTCTTTTTAAAAACCTCCAGTGATGAAGCACCCACAATGTCTGAAGGCAAGATATTCTACTGGTTAATTGTTCTCTGTAAGGAAGTTTCTCCTTAATTCCAGATTGCTTCTCTCCTTGATTAGTTTCCAATTCAGTTCCAATATGTAGGATCCTAATGATCCTGAAGTGTTAGTCTACCCTGGTATTCATTCAAACCATTCTTGTTTTATCTGTCATGATCTTCTGGATTTGAAAACCTGAAGAAATTCTTTTCATCTCAGACCTTGTCAGCCCTTCAAGATACTTCAAACAAAAAGGAATATCTTTATTATATTCTATCTTTATGTACAGAGTATTGCAAGTCTGAAAATAAATCTCTCCCTTCTTGCATTTATAATCCAAGAAATTAGGGAAACTTCTGATATGTATGCTACATCCCCAATCTTTCTGCAGATGGATATCATATAAGGCATGGCTGGGAAGATTAGTGGGTGACAATAGGAATTATTAAAGTACTATCCCAGAATAGGTCCAGGGTGTGAAGACCCAGAAGGCTTCTGGTAGGAAGTTTAACATCTCCGGGTTTCTGTCCTGTAGACTTTGTTTTTTAAATTATTATTATAATTAAATTTATACAGTATATCCTGTAGACTTGGATGTTCCACTACAATTATGCATGAACATACTTTTTTCTAGCACACTGGAAGCATTTAAATTATTTACATTATACAGATAGTCCTTGACTTTCAACAGTTCGTTTAATGACTGTTCAAAGTTACAACACTGAAAAAAGTGACACGACCGTTTTTCACAGTAATGACCTTTGCAGCATCCCCATGATCATGTGATCAAAATTCAGATGCTTGGCAACTGGTTCATACTTATGACCGTTGCTGTGTTCCAAGATCATGTGATCCCCTTTTGCAACCTTCTGGTAAGCAAAGTCAACTGGAAGCCAGATTCAATTAACAACTGAGACAAGAAAGGTCGTAAAATGGGGCAAAACTCACTTAACAACATGAATTTTGGGCTCAATTGTGGTTGTATAACAAGGACTACCACACACACACACACACATACACAAAACACAGTTTGGAAGAGCATATTGTGTACTATATATGCAAGGTAGTAGTTTAGCAGTAAACTTTACTAGAATGATAAAGAAGCATAGCAATGAGTAAAGAGTAATAAAAAATTACATGTTGTGTTGAGTGGAGGATTTTTTTCCCCTAGATTCGACTATGTTTTATTGTGTATTACAAATCACAACATCATTAGACAATTGTGTCCAAGACAAAGCTGTCATATCTAAGTAATGTATAAGACACATTAATGGGAAAAAAATCTTTGTTAAGAACCCACTATTGTTATTTGTGCAGTCTGAAGAATCTAACTTTACGCTAGAGTAATGATCGGTCTGAGGAGATGCCATGAGTTGTTTTTGTCTCCTTTAAGGTCTGAAAAAATAGGTCTGTTTTGTCTCAGGAGAAAGCTATGGGAATAATAGTCACTAAAGTGGTCCAGTGACAATTATTAGCAAGGATATTGCCATTTTATTTTCAGTTCAGTTTCTGAAAGCAGATGCTGTAAGCATATGTATAGTGAATTCTTAGTGAATTTCATATGACCTTTTTAGAGGTTATTTACAGTTTTATCATTAAAAAAATATTCCATAACATTTTCTCTGTGAAACTTGAAAAAGAACGTGTTTAGAAGTATTTATCTTATTAAACTTTACAGTTGGCAGCTCTTGAGCCCTTTTTCAAGGTCTACATATAACAAATGTCCATAACTGGTACTGTTTGGACTACTAATTCATAGTAGTATGTTTTATTTTTTAAAAAATATTATTTTCTTAGATTCTGCCTTTTCCATAAGCACTAGAGGCATAATTTTTATTATCACTCCATTCATGGAGATAGGTTAGAAAGAACGATGAACTCAAATTTCCAAATTGCCAAATAACTGAGGCAGTGCTGATCCACATCAGATAGCAAAAAATAAATAAAAGTAAAAATCCATAAAGAAAGTCAGGAAGGAAACAGATTTCAAGATGTGCCTGCGTATTTTCTGCTTAAAACTTCATCTTACATTTGCTTACGAATGATCTTTTAACATTTCTCATCATATGTTTTGTTGTAATACAACTGGTAAGACTGCTTTTGCTTTTTAAAATATAATTTATAATTCTATAAATATAATATGTAAATACATTATGTGTAATAATATAATTATATCAAGGCAAATTATATTTAATACCGTAATATATCATTATAATTATAAATACAGTGTAATGATATGTTTTCTCTCACTTAATTTTAAGATGAAAATTGAGCAATTCACTTTGCCACAGTATCATAATTAATTAAATAGCTGGGAGAATATCTTGACAAGGCAGCCCCTATAATTTTGCTTTTTGTTTTCTGTGCAGCATGTGATAGTTACCACTGGGGACCTCACTGCAGTAGTCGCTGCCAGTGTAAAAATGGAGCTTTGTGTAATCCCATCACTGGAGCTTGCCACTGCACTGCAGGATTCAAGGGATGGCGCTGTGAGGAACACTGTGACCAAGATACCTATGGAAATGATTGCCACCAAAAATGCCAGTGTCAGCATGGAGCCACCTGTGACCACATCACTGGAGAATGCAGATGTCCCCCTGGATATACTGGAGCTTTGTATGCGATTGATACATTGGTTATATGTAGAATATTAGTGAATTTCACAATTATTTTTTCTTTTACAAGGAAGTTGGCAATACTGTCCTCATGCTATGATTATTCTTCTGGTGAAGATAGAAAAATAATTTGCACTCTGCGAATAGTTCTATTGGGATTTGAAATGGCCTCTCAGTTCCAAATTCAGTATTGCCAACTCAAGGATAACTAATAAGCAACAGAAATATGACAAGAGGAACTATATTTTAATATTTTGAGGAATATTAAATGTATATAATGTGTTTTTATGTTGCTTTTATTAATGCTTGATTCCTTTTTTAATATGTTGGAAGGGTTTTTATCCTTAGGCAAGGTAGAAACAGTTTAAACAGGTTCTCGTTGAACCTTCAAGACTAACCAATATACTACAGCTGAATAGTTCATGGTTCAGATTCCCATTGGATGAGATGTGGGAGGATACCATTTCATGCATCCGACACAGTGGACTCTGATTTATAAAAGCCAGAATGAATGTTCTCAGGATATTTTTATAACAATAGATTATGGCAGTAAATATGAGAAAGACTCTCAAGAAAGAAAACACTGGTAACAGTGTGTATTTGCACCAAGAAAATGCAAGTTCAAATTCTCATTCCATTATGACTTAAAATCAATAGCAGTCACAATTATGTTCCTCTTACCATCCTATCACAACTAATCTGACAGCAAAATTGCTTTGAGTTGATTTGGGAAAAGGTGAGATAAAGCTAGAATGAATTCATCAGCAGCCTCTTCACGCCAAAAGTTGCTTTGAAATCAGAGGTGGGTTCCACTTACCTTTACTACCGGTTCGCAACGGGATCGCGCATGCTCAGATCGCTCAAGCTTCTGCACATGCGCAGATTGCCAATGATGATATCCGGGGTGGTGAGCCAGGCCTCCCACCAATTTTACTACCGGTTCTTGTGAACCGGTCCAAAACCGGGGGCAACCCACCACTGTTTCAAATTGTCTAGCTCATAGACCAGAATATAGAGAAGGCAGCATCTTTTCCCAAAGCAATCCAAAGAATGAACATTTCAGCAACTCATCTGAATACAACATTCTGTAGAGGCAAAAACAGGAGTAGCGATCAATAAAAAAAAAAAAGAATAGTTAATTATGAATAGAGAAAGCAGGACTATAAGCTACTTTGGTATATAACTTATTTTAACTTTGTATAATAAATATATTTGATTGCTCAAGGCATAAGCTCATTATTTGCCATGAGTATAAGCAATATAAGAATATTGGCTAGGTAATTGTGCACCACACATAGCAACAATATACAATCTCTAATTCAAGCGTAGTATTTTGCCACAAAATAGAGCAAAATTCAGGAGACAATTTGGAAAATATTTAATCAAAAATAGATATAGGATATTTTTAAACAGCAAATACATAGAAACTTTTAACATTACAGCTTCTTTATCTGCATTAGAAATTCCTATAAAGTAGAGAAATATTTTTTGCTGTTTTTAAATTGATAAAATAAGAAAAACCTATTGGCATTTATAAATAGAAATACTTTCTTACGTAAAGAAATTATTTATATACTTTTTCCTTAGTTTTACAGATTAACACCCCTAACTATATTAGAAACATAAATATCTCACCATTCCTCTTATAACTAAGAGAAACACTTTAATTAAACACTTTCTCTCTATGACTCTATGAATGTGTGTGTGTGTTTGCATTACTTTTAGCTGTGAGGATCTTTGTCCACCTGACAAACATGGGCCACAGTGTGAAGAAAGATGCCCATGCCAGAATGGAGGAGTTTGTCATCATGTAACAGGGGAATGTGCCTGCCCTCCTGGATGGATGGTAGTTATAATTTCTATAAAATTTCATCACTTTTGACTCTGAGATTTCATGGGTTAGGACAGGGGTGTCAAACTTGATTTCATTGAGGGCTGCATCATGGTTGTGTTTGACCTCAGGGGGCCAGGGTGGGCATGACCAGCTCAATGTCACTCGCATTGGGGGTGCCTGTAGTGACCCGAGCTCTCTGCCAGCAAAAACGGGCTCCTGAGCTCCGTTTTGGCTGCGATAGCTTCCTGCAACCCTCTGCCAGCGAAAACAAAGCTCAGAAGGACTGCCTGCAGCCCTTGCAAGCTCCATTTTCACCTGAGACAGCCTCCTGCAACCCTCTGCCAGCTCCATTTTTACTGGCAGAGGCACCATGGGGCAGTCCTTTGCTGTTTCCAGGGTGGACCCGCAGGCCAGATCTAAGCACCCCATGGGCCGGATCCAGACCCCGGGCCCTGAGTTTGACACCCCTGTTTTAGGAGTTTTAATTCTAGGTTAAATGCAGGGAAAAAAAGGGAAATTATTTGTTTGAATCTATTACCATTATGTAGGACTGACATCTTGGATTAGCTTCCTTTTACAGCATAAACATTCCAACAAATTAACAATCTAACACTCATGAGAAAACATACATATAGTTTTGCAAAACTAAATTATTATTATTATTGGCATTTTTACATTTCATGCAATCTCATACTACAGCCCCATGAATAAATGTGAAGTTCTGTTTTCAAACAGGGCACAGTCTGTGGTCAGCCTTGCCCAGAAGGACGTTATGGAAATAATTGTTCCCAAGAATGTCAGTGCCACAATGGAGGAACATGTGATTTAGCCACTGGTCAATGTCATTGCAGTTCAGGGTATACAGGAGAACGGTAAGAAGACAATTTTTCAGAACACTCAATCATCATGATTGTGGAAAAAAGGAAAGTTGAATGAATTTACAATATTATGCAAACTTGATTACTGTTCCAGTCAAAACTAAGCAAAAATCAAGCTGGTTCAATTTTACTTAAGAAACTAATTGAAATTCAATTACTGTATATAGCTAAGTGATTTTCTTTAGCTATGTTTTCATTTATCATATTTTTAAAAACTATTTGCATCGTTTTGTCTTTTTTTCTCATTCTGAGTAGTTTGGTCACTTCACTGCAATTTATAATATGAAAAAATTAAAAAGCACTGACCCATTTCATTTTTTTTTTACATTTATTCCTATTTTATTGTTCTTTAATCAGTGACTGGTTTATGTGATGACATAAGTCATGTGAAGACTCCCATGGTTCTGAGCAAAGTTGTAATCATATTTTTTTCCACCTATTCTTTTTCCAAACATCATCACTTCACTGCCATTTTCCCCAGTTGGGGAAACTATGGGGCACAACAATAAAACTTTTCATCCCTGTAGATGTTAGGGGCTTACTGTCTTATTTTTTCCTATATATAATCTTCTTGAAGAGGAGAAAAATTTGTCTCAGAAGTTTTTAAGTGAACTTTATGCTAGAAACTAATTTTCTATCCTACTATTTCTTATGTTTACGGGATTTGTGCAGAATAACTTTACACTGGATTCTTTTTTAGCTATTGAATTATAAGAACTTTTTGTATTTTCTAAAATCTTGCATACTATGTGTGTTGTTTGAAAGGAATGTGTAGCCAGCTGGCTATAACCCTGGCCTCTTTTCCTAACCTTCAATTATCTCTACATAACGTATTTTATGTTATAAAGAGCAACATCTAATGGCACACAGATGTCTGGGGTGTTCCTCTTTCAACTTTCACAGGAAATATCATATTATCTAGTTTGTCCTACTGGGTGTGATTTAGAGATGGACACTTAAGTGAATAAATGCTCACATAATAAATCAAACGGCACTTTGTGGAGTAAGCATTTGCTTAAATATCATAGCAAATTTCTGTTTCATGCATCAAAAATTCTGTTAGATGTTTGGAAGTATAGTGTAGAAAATTGACAAAGGGAAATGTCCTTCACTAGAGCAATCAGGAACTGCCTACTTTATATGAAATTTTTAAAAAGCTGTTCTTATATATATTTAAACTATTTTTCTATGTAGCTCAATACCTGCCTAGCTCAACATTAGCAACAGCAATAACATTCACTGCATTTATATAGAAATGAGATATTCAGAATTACCTCATTGGAGTCCTTCATAATGGCCAGTCAGCAGGAACAATTTTTGAAAGGAAAACAATAGCAATAGCACTTAGAGTTATAGAGCACTGTAACCATGCCTTCTTTTTGTAATATCTCATAATATTTCTGCTAAGAGGTACATATGATCCTGGTTAAGACATAAGAGTATAGTTTGCTTTAATTGTTATCCAGAATACCATAATTAAAAAGGGGATTTGTATTGCATGAAATTGTATCTGTATGCATTGTTGTGTTTGCATCTGTTATGTATATAGTGCTGTTACCTGAGAAGAATTCAATGTATATTTTAGGATATTTTTTATAGAAAGTGAACATTTTTCTTCCTGGTTTTCTCACCAGGTGTCAAGATGAATGTCCAATTGGAACTTTTGGAATACAGTGTGCAGAAAACTGCCAATGCATGAATGGTGGAAAATGCTATCATATTAGCGGAGAATGTCTTTGTGAGCCAGGATATACCGGAGTACATTGTGAAACAAGGCTATGTGCTGAAATAGTCTATGGTCTTAAATGCGACAAAAGATGTCCCTGTCATTTGCCAAATACTCACAGGTACTTTAGATATTTCTGTTACATCTGTGTGGAATCAACTTCCATTTGCCAATTAGTCTTGGGAAAATTTTTCAGTAGTTTTTTTTTAATAATGCTCTATAATGCCACTCAACCAGTGGTGGGTTGCTCCCGGTTTGCACCGGTTCGCAAGAACCAGTAGTAAAAATCTGTAGTAGTTCGCAGAACCAATAATAACATTGGCTGGCTTTTTTTTTTTTTTACTTTTAAAAACATTTTTTTCTACAACCTCTTCGGCCGAAGAGGTTGTAGGAAAAAAAAAAATGCCTTTAAAAGCCTCTGACGATCCCAGCTGAGTTGCCTAATCGTTAGAGGCTTTTAAAAGCATTTTTTTTCTGCAACTTCTTAAGGTTGTAAAAAAAATGCTTTTAAAAGTAAAAAAAAAAAAAAAGTTGGCCACCCCCACCCAGTCACATTACCCCCCCACGAAGCCACACCCACAAAAAAAGCCATGCCCACAGAACTGGTAGTAAAAAAATTTAGAACCCACCCCTGCCGCTCAACTATTGTGACAAATCACTAATGCAGGCAAACTTATATTGCCACAGTAATAACAATATATCACCATGAATCACTAGTGAGAATATGACAGGAAATATAAGAATCTGAGGAAGGATTCGTTTTTCCAGATATCCTGGTATTGTAGTTAAAGCTGTTCACAAGGATTAAAATCTTTGGATTTCTTTCTATAAATGCTAATACCTAGAAAAATCTTGATTTTTGCTATGTGTTTCTTCTAGGAAAACAAATACAGTGTTAAGAATGTAGGTTTCATTTTTCATGACCTACTAATAAAAACAAAGCTTTTTCTGACAGAGCTTTGGAAGCTATTAGAGGTTGTCCTCGACCTACGACCACAATTGAGCCCAATACAATTGAGTCCATGGCTAAGCAAGACATTTGTTTAAGTGAGTTTTGCCCCTTTCTTGCCACAGTTGTTGAGTCACTGCAGTTGTTAAGTTAGTAACATGATTGTTAAGTGAATCTGGCTTTTTCATTGATGTTGCTTGTCAGAAGGTCGCAAAAGGTGATCATATAACTCCAGGACACTGCAACTGTTATAAATACATGACTGTTACCAAATGTCTGAATTTTTAAAAAAACTTTTTAATTGGTTTATCAAAATATAAAATACAAGAAAATTCAAAAAAGTAATAGAAAACTAGGAGGAGGGGGAGGGGAAAATATGGTGTAAAGAAGGAAAAGGAAAGAAAACTTCCGACTCCCTTTAGCATGATAGAAGATAAGAACATGACAACTGCAGCTTTTTACTTTTCCACAACAGTATGTACAAGCCATTTCTTTAACAATAAACCTATTTAATTAGCAAAAACAAAATCAAAGTTTCAATTTTTTTTTCATTGCAAGCTCAAAATCCGGAAGCAATTTCAGAATAGAAACAACGTTAGATATTTTCTCTTCTTTGGCTAAAAGATCAATTTGATACCATCTCTACTTCTCTTTGCTGTGGGGAATAATATATATTTCTGTTAACTCATTAATCTTTATCATAATTCATATTAAGATAATCCTCTATATTATTTCAATTTTTTTTAATCCTGAAGGGAGAAAACACTTTTTCTTGTTTTGATATTTTACTAACTTTAAAAAATACACAAGTATTATATATAAGGGGGGGGGGGAACCCTTCATTTTAAACTAGAACCTAAAATACAAAACTACATTTGAGCTTTCATTCATATATATATATATATCACACCAAATCTCTGAATTTTGATCTCATGACCATAGGGATGCTGCAATGGTCCTAAGTGTGAAAAATGATCATAAGTAACTTTTTTCAGTTCTGTTGTAACTTTGAATGGTCCTTAAACAAATGGTTGTACCTTGAGGACTACGTGTAATTGAATTAGGACAATAGAAGAAATTAGATAAATAGATGCACTAGGCCACAATTAGAAATAAATGGAACAGTTTTATCTTCCAACTGAGAGGAAGCTGGGTCTAGTTCTGAAAAATCAAAGAGCTACTGTCTGAGTTGAAGCCATCACATAACATGTGTTGTATTCAGTTCAATTGTTGTGACAACAGTTAAACTAGGTTATTTATCCCTACAATAAATCGTGCATGATTTGCTTAGTTAGAGATCTTTAGTGGTCCATTTAGCAAAGAAACTTCTAAAGAAATGATTCTTTCATTCTCTGATATCATTGTTCATGAGGAATATATATACTTAAAAGTTCCAAGTGCTTGTTATGTTTACTACTAGAGTGGGAAGCCAGCAACTTTTCCATTAACTTGTCTATTCAGTGGTGTGTTCACTCTTTTTCCATTCTTGTCCTTCAACAACATTGTTCAATTAATAGGACCTGGGCTGGAATGTTTATCAAATGTCCTGCAATTAATTTAGACATTAACTTAGAAAATAACTAAATTTTGTAGTAGACATTTTAAATTGACAAGAATGTATGGCACAACATTATATAGCATTTCTGATATTTCAAGGATTAAGTTGATTCATGTTCAACACAGCTGTTCATTTATACCAGTGAAGGAAAGGTTGTGGCGAAGTCAAACTAAAAATGTTCTGATTCAAATAGAAGCACTTATTTAGAAAGTGTTTTTAAACATTTCTTCCTTTCTGTAACAAATTGAATGGATTTAGCAGTAATGTGAGTATAGCAGCATTGTAATGTTATTTTAGAATACAGAAGAGTGAACTATAATTGATATTACAGATATTTAGCTTATAACGTAAGTGGAAAAATTGTATGTGTTTATATATTTGTATGTGCATGTGAGCAGAAACAGCAAAAATGTCACAGTCAATGCCAAAAATTAATACTGCAGATATATTAAAGTTAAAGTTATATTACTCAAATTCTGGTTTTTATAATCAAGAGGCTTTTCTTATACATATCAACAAAATAAACACACCAATATTAGGCCTAGGATGTGAAAAATCTTTCAAAAATCTGGTCAGCATGAGTGTATTGTGGCTATACCTGGAGAAATGTAAACACTAATGCCCTGACAGTCTGTGCATTTCACATTTCTCTATCAATAATTGTTGATTAAATATAGATTCACTTTGATCTTCATGTAATCTAATTTCCCAAGATTTATTCTAAAAAGAGTTATGTATTTATATCATTCTTCAAACTCTATGCAACCTAAGTACTGCCAGTTAAAGTAGCTACCCCAAAAGCATTCAAGTATTTTAATTTCCTATATTTAATCATGGATTATGATGTATAATTTTGAACTCAATCAGTGTATGTGTGCACCAGATACTTATCATATATCAGGAGAATAGGTATACAAATATTAATGTGATTTGGCCTCAGTTCCATTGTATGTGGATTCCATTGCTGTCTCTCCCTCGCACATGTACACATACAGACACACACACACACACACACACACACAAAAACACAAAGAGAAAATGAGGTAGAAAGCAGTATTCTAAAATGATTATACTTTCTGTTTCTTTATTGGTTTTATGCTATGATGTTGCCCATGGATACCAGAGCTAAAATAACTTCCTGAAGTACAATAATTCATTATTATTTATCTCCAAAGTACTGTCAGGTTTTACCATATAATGTCTCATTAATCTAAAATAACACAGATGTTTTCCTTATTTTTGAAGCCAAAATAAAAAATGATTATGAATAAAAAGCATGATTCTGAAGCCCGTGTGAGCTACTCTCAAAAGCACTTCCAAGCATCCTCTGCTTTTTCCTTTAGAGAGAGAAGATAAAGGGTGACTGAATCAAGCTCCTTAGGAGCCAGTTCCCTGTTAAAAGCACCTTTAAGTGCTGGCTCCAGGGAAGAGTCCTTCAAAGCACTTCTGCCTGGGAGCAACATAACATTTATCCTAGTCCTGGGTCAGTGACATCATCTCTTGTGTTGAAGTGGTACTTGGGAAATATCTGGCTTTGACCCAGTTGAATTCTTCAGCATTAGAACATGACTAAAAAGAGAGAGGTGGCAAAATCCTATTCTATTAGTGAAGTATTATTCTCCCAGCTAGTAGTCAGAATTTGTTTAAATTTCTGACTGGAACCTAAAATACACTTTGTCAATATATACTAATTATTAAAGCTATAACTTCTCTACAAAATATGAACGAGAGCAACATTCCCCAACTGAGATTAGATGAAGATTTTGGGAGCTAGATTGCTTCATTGGGTTTGCATAATGTGTGTCTAATATGCCACAAGGCTACAATGACATTTGAGACTAATGTACTTTAAATAATAACAATAGTAATACATTGTAATTTGGCTTTTTCTTCTAAAACATTTAAAACACAGACAAATAAGAGAAACCATGCCCTTTTGATTTTCCATATATTTGTTTGAAAACATGTTTTACACACAAACAGATGTGTTTCTGTCAGAAGAAAAGTGATATCTTGAGGAAAGATTGACTGCAGTTTAATAATAGGGATATAGGACAGCCCACTGTAAGGAATTACACTGGCAAAATGAGTAAGAGGCATTGAAAAGAGGCATTTAAAAAAAAAACCCACAGAAAAGACACTCTTCTGTCATCGTTCATTTAATATGTCTTGACTTGAGTACATTTCCCCCCTTTCAGAATGCCTTAGGGAATATTACTTCAATCAGTGATCAGTCATCTTTAAACAGGCTGCGTATTGTAAATATAATTGATCTGGATATTAAGGCTTCCCTTTGGTGAGAGTTAAGCTAAGTGCTTTTCCTGCCAGAGGACCACAGAACTGTCCTTGTGTTTACTGTCTTGGCACATATATTTTAGCACAGCTGATGGTTCCATTTGTTGCAAAATAACAGCTGTGTGGTTGCGCATTGAATAAAACTGCTGTTTTCAGGTAGGAACAGATGGCCCGACACCAGGTATGGAAGCTAAAATATCAACATTCTTGAAGACTATGAGTGCCCTTGACCTTTCCCCTGTAAAGCAATTTGGCACCGCTTCTAAGTAAAAAAAAATATAAAACTTGCATACTAAACACCTACCAGAATTTAAATGAAAGCTCATAGGTTCATGCAAGGTCAAATTATGTATCTGTTAATTAGAATTTGGTTTAGATTTTATGAAAAATGAATAAATTCTGGGGAATAGTTACAATAGTTGCAGTTAGCATAAAGGGGGTGATTAAACCTTGTTTATAGCAGTCTTGACAAGAATACATTCCTTGAAGCTACTATTTTTCTTAAGAAATCTACTGTATGGCATAGTCAATAAAGGGTTGGCCCAGGCTCAGGAAACCAAGTTTGAAATCCATCCTTAACTTTGGAAGTGTCCTGAGAAACTTCAGGCTAGTCACATGCCTCAGTCTAATCTACTTCATGGATTTTTGTGGGGAAAACATGGACAAGGGAGTTCTATTATTGTTGTTTCAAAGAAAGATGGGATAGAAATACATACATATATTTAACTTAAAGACTAATTTTCCTGAGTACTGGGGAAAGATTACTCATAAAGATAGTCTAATAATGTATTTCAATAGGGTTTCATTTTTATTATTATTTTAAACAATCAGAATACAAAATTATGTTCCTAATCTTCATGGTAGCCTATTTTGTTTATTTCTACAGTTCCAAGGTAATGAAATACTGAATCAATGAGTTTGCATTTGATTTTATAGGATATAACTACACGTAGTCCTTGACTTACAACAGTTCATTTAGTGACCGTTCAAAGTTACAGATTCAGATCCTTGGAAACTGGTTCATATTTATGACTGTTGCAGTGTCCCAGGGTCATGTAATCAGTTTTTGCAACCTTCTGATAAGCAAAGTCAATAGGGAAGCCAGATTCATCTAACAACCATGTTATTAACTTAACAATGCAATGATTCACTTAACAACTCTGGCAGGAAAAGTTGTAAAATGGGGCAAACTCACTTAACAAATGTTTGACTTAGCAACATAAATTTTGGGCTCAATTGTCAACATAAATTGAGGATTACCTGTACATATTTGGCTAATACCTGTCAAATTTCATCCGAAAACTTAATTATAAATGTATTTATAATGATATTTAAGCAGTAGATTTTCTCAGCACTGATTTTGATTTAAAACATAAAATATGTATATGCTATTATTATTAGTAGAATATTAATACTGCAGTAAATTAATATTAGACCGGATGGTCCTCTAATTCCACCCATTCCCTGTGCCCAAGTGAGGGCATTTTTCTAAATAACTTCTTTGTGTGAAATCCTTTGTATAATGTGTCCATTTTTCTTCATTGGGCTCTTGGTATCATATTCTCTCCAAATGCTTTATCCATCCATTCCTTTTTGGCAGCTGCCACCCAATGTCTGGAGAGTGCTTTTGCAAGCCTGGCTGGTCTGGTCTCTCTTGCAATGAAAGCTGTTCCCCAGGATTCTATGGTGAATCGTGTCAACAAATCTGCAGTTGCCGAAATGGTGCTGACTGTGACAGTGTGACCGGAAAATGCATTTGTGCTCCAGGATTTAAGGTAAATAGTTCTGATTGTTACTTCATTGGTTGTCTGCCTTTGAAGATAGAAGCAACTTCTATTGTCCCCATTGGGATTATGACATTCCAGCAGAAGAGGTGCTTCAAAACACACAGGAGTGCAGATAAGACATCTTCGTTTCAATAAAAGAGAATATATGGAGCTCAGGGTTGAACTGTGGAATTCTTGATGTTCTCTGAGCCTTGGTAGTGGTTGCTTGCAGCCATTTTATTACCCCACTAAGTACTATCATCTTGCAGATACCCAACTAGGGAACATCATTACACTGATAAGGTTATTTTTTTATTTAAAAATCTAATTAAATCGTTTTCCTTAACATTGCATTATTCTTATCTTTTGTCAACTGCGGTCTAGGGTTCTGATTGTTCTATTCCTTGCCCTGTTGGAACATATGGAATAAACTGTTCATCTATATGTAACTGCAAAAATGAGGCTGTTTGTTCCCTAGTGGATGGTTCCTGTGTCTGCAAAGCTGGTAAGTGACCTAACTTACATTTTGGTACTATGAAATTCATACTAAACATTTTAATAAAACATATTAAATACTTTTAAAAGAATGACGATCATAAACCACACCGTGCTGCTACTTCCAGCACTCTCAGAATTAACTTTCACATTTTAATTCTGTGCATTCCACTGCAGGTTCCTTCTTCTTGATCATTCCAAAACCTTTTTAAAGAAATGTTCGTCAAGATTCCTGTGTGTTTTCTCTGCCTTTTAATAATATTTATTCCTTAATCTCTTTGGATACTTATTTTGCAATTAGCTTTCTCTCGATATAGTTTATACTCTTTGCATCATCCTTGCATACATTTTTCTTGTGCATAGTAGTTATTCTTTTTCCCTTCTTCCTTTCACATTTTCTTTGATGTCCACTTTTTCCATAATATCCCTTCTTGACACTACCAAATAATCCCACATTTAGAACACCTCATCACTTCTATATACTTCGCTATTTTTTTCCAGTCTTTCATAGTAAACATTCAAATAATTCATGCTGTTGATCCATTCCCTATTTTTGTAAATGTAAGAATAGACTTAAGATTAAAGTACATATTTGAAATAATCAGATTTTTAAATACTAACCAATCAACATTATCAACATTATCATCACTTACCTTTGCTACTGGTTTGCAAATGTGAGCGCTCGCACGCTTGCTTCGCACGCATGTGCTACCTCCGCGCATGCGCAGAGTGTCAAAAACGGGACATGATGACATCCGGGCGGGTGGGAGGCAGAGCCTCCTGCAGCCTCCACTAGTGGTTTACCCGAACCAGATAGAACCAGCTGAATATCACCATTGATTATCACTCATCTATGAATGACCCAACAGTGAAATGCTACCGGTTCAGGCTGGTTCTCCCAAACCGGTAGTAAAAAATGCTACTGGTTTGCTGAACCGGTAGAAAAAATGTAAAAAAAAAAAAGTTCCGATGATCAGCTGAGCGATGTGCGATCGTTGGAACTTTTTTTTTTACTTTTTAAAGCATTTTTAACTACCAGTTCCAGAGAACCGGTAGTATAAAAATTCTAAAAAAGTTTTTTTAAAAAGTTCCGACGATCACGCGTCGCTCAGCTTATCGTCAGAACTTTTTTTTTTTTTTTTACTTTTTAGGCATTTTATTACTACCGTTTCAGGCGAATATGTAGTAAAAAATGCTATAAAAAAGTTAAAAAAAAGATTCCAATGATAACAGCTGTGCTGTGCGATCGTCGAAGCCTTTTTTTTTACTGTTTTAAAGCATTTTTTTACTACCTATTTGCCCTAGCCGGTAGTAAAAAAATGCTTTTAAAAGGTTAAAAAAAAGGCTCCGATGATCACACATCACTCAGCTAATTGTTGGAGCCTCTTTTTTAACCTTTAAAAGCATTTTTTTTTTACTAAGGGCTTGGGCGAATAGATAGTAAAAAAAATGCTTTAAAAAAGTAAAAAAAAAGGCTCCAACAATCACAGCTGTGCTGCACAATCATTGGAACCTTTTTAAAACTTTTTTAAAGCATTTTTTACTACCTATTCGCCTGAGCCGGTAGTAAAAAATGCTTTTAAATTTTTTTTAAAAAGGTTCCCATGTGTGTCACGGCTGATCACCCAACCCCCTGCACTGTTCTACTTACTTTCCCAAGCCTCCTTTTGGTGCGCACTGCACGTGCGCATGCACAGCTTGCATTTGATGTGCACTGTGCATGCGCGCATGCAGTGCACATTTGTTGCCTGGCACGCATACGCAGCCAATGAATTGGTAGTAAACCGATTCAGATTTCACCCACTGGAATGACCCAACCACTTTTTCTGTATTCCGCCATTTTATTCCATTCCCTACTCCTACATTCATGATATCTAATAGAATTTTATTAATTTATTGAATATATATTGTATAGAAATTCATCCATGGTTCCAGGCATCTCACAATAAAAAAAGTATAAAAACTACAATGCTATATTAATGCCTGAGGGGTAACCCCCAATGCCTGAGGGGTAAGCTTGATCTTTCTGGAAGACTAACACAATCAGGGATATCTAGATCTTAATGGAAGCTACTTGATGAGGCAAGTTCGGTAATAAAGAATGCACACTTCCTGTGTTTCACAAAAGAAGACCCCCAGAGTATAACCCCTTAATCACAAGTTTCACAATTGTTCTCAAACTTATCTCTGTTTTTTTTTATTACCACCAGTCACTGTGAAGTATCACAAGTATTACTCACCTATAGATTCCTACCTACATGCTATATAACAACCTAAATGCTACCAATCTTTACTTTCCGGCATATGTGCTATCAATTTTGTTCATAACTAAACCCATAACTTCACTTTGTGCATATATTCATCAGTGCTAAAGATCAGAATTTTATCCAGAATGATCACATTGTTCCTCTTTTTTTCGGTTGTAAACGCACAGACAACATTTCCATTTACTCTTGTATTTTTCATTTTATTCATTAATTCACTCTTTTTACCACTTACCATGTTTATCACCCAAATGGATACATGGATACTGTCCATCATAGCTTCGGTCAGTTGAAGCCTTTATATAACTCTTCTGTTTAGTAAAATAGAGAGATGAAATAAGTTGAAATCAGTTGCAATCTTATGCATGCCAGCTGCAGAATTCTCTGTTAATTATTAGGATAATAGCATTCAGTTGTTGGTATATTTTGGCACACTGGTGCAAGCATAAATAAAGACCAGTTTTACCTAAAAGACACTCATACTATATTAGGTCAATATACTATTGCTGCATTCCACCACGTTGGAAGGTATGCAATGTAGTACCATACACTCAGGATTCTGGGGGGAAGGCATTTAATTCAGTTTGGCAATTCCTTTAGGTTTTTCAGTTCAAGGTTCAGTTTAAAGGTATGCTTCCATTGATTGGAACTTTATTCAGCTTTATTAGCAGACCTCAGTTCCAAAGAATTAAGAAAGAGTGACGAGGAAACAAATGATTCCTTCCATCATTGTATTTATCCCCTTTCAAAAGTATACCTGTCTTTATTCTTCTAAAAAATATTCATATTTTAAGTTTTAGACATTTCTTTAACTTTCATTTGTAGAGCTATTGCTCATCAACAACAATATTTTTACAACTCCTCACCTCAAATTGCTTAATGACATTTGTAGATCTAAAGATTTTGTATCAATAACTGCATCTTGTGAAGTCAGTTGCAACTTATGTAGTAAGTTGCAGCTCACAAAAGCTTATGTCTTTTAAAAACGATGGCTAGGTGGAAAAGATACTGCTTGACTCCTGTTTTTTTTTTTTTTTTGCTGCCATAGACCAACACAGCTATCCTCCTATAATTCTGGCAAATGAATGATATAGGTAAAAACCTGAAAAAGGTGCTTATCAGCTCTCAGCTGTTCTTATCAAGTAAGATATACTCTATACTGAAAAGAGGCATTTTCTTTTTACTGTGTCAGGTTGGCACGGAGTGGACTGCTCTATAAATTGTCCTAGTGGGACATGGGGTCTTGGCTGTAATTTAACATGTCAGTGCCTTAATGGAGGAGCATGCAATATTCTGGATGGAACCTGCACCTGTGCTCCAGGTTGGAGAGGAGAAAAATGTGAATACCCCTGTCAGGTAATATAGCAGACTCCACTCAAAGTTTGATTTGGAGATTGTAATAATACAATGCCTTGATAACTGTGTTGAATATCACAATATTATATGCTGTATTTTTAATTAAAACACGTCCATATTATCAGAGGTATTGCAGTATATAAACAAACAGTTCTGGGCTCCAAGATCACCGCAGAATGGGACTGCAGCCAAGAAATTAAAAGACGCTTCCTCCTGGGGAGGAAAGCTATTGCAAATCTAGACAGCATTCTAAAAAGCAGAGACATCACCCTGCCAACAAAAGTGCGTATAGTCAAGGCTATGGTTTTCCCAGTTGCAATGTATGGCTGTGAAAATTGGACCATAAGAAAGGCTGAGCACCGAAGAATTGAGGCCTTTGAACTATGGTGATGGAGAAGGCTCCTGCGAGTCCCTTGGACTGCAAGGCAATCAAACTGGTCAGTCCTAGAGGAGATCAACCCTGACTGCTCTTTAGAAGGCCAGATCCTGAAGATGAAACTGAAATACTTTGGCCACTTAATGAGAAGGAAGGACTCACTGGAGAAGAGACTAATGCTAGGATCAATTGAGGGCAAAAGAAGAAGGGGATGACAGAGAATGAGGTGACTGGATGGAGTCACTGAAGCAGTAGGCATGAGCTTAAATGGACTCCAGAGGATGGAAGAGGACAAGAAGGCCTGGAGGAACATTGTCCATGGGGTCGCAATGGGTCAGACATGACTTCACAACTAACAACAACAACAAAACTAACAGTTTGTCCATATAACCTATTAACTATAGCACAAGGATGTTATCCCATCCCTTTTAGAGGACACATCTTCAGGGCACAGCCTTTGATTCATCCTTAGTCTATCATCATATTGATACTTTAAATTTGTTCTTTGATGTTCCAGTTTGAAGTAATTTTTCCACGTCTTCCTCATTCACCTTGAAATGTAAACAATGTAGAACACCTCATTCATGAGCTTGGTGGTAACGCTATTTGGGAATGAATGAATGAAGAAATAAATATGTTTCATTCACAAATCAAGTCTCTTATTAGGTCAATAATGTAAGGCTTGCATGTTAACTGCACTAAAATAAATTTAACATTGTTTCATTTTCTTCCTGGCAGGATGGCATGTATGGCCTGGACTGTTCAGAGCGCTGTGACTGCAGTCATGCAGATGGATGTCATCCAGTAACAGGTTATTGCCGTTGCCTTCCAGGATGGTCAGGTAAATTTGAAATTGTTGTAACAATAGGACAATGCCATCCAAATTTTGATTAAAAATTTACACAGTCCCACCACACCCCATTTTGGCTGGGAAAGTGCTGCAGGAGGCCAGCCAGGCCAAAAATGGGGCACGGGGGGCTGCATGTGGGCCCCCATGCCCCAATTTGGCTGCCAGAGGCACTATGGGCTGGTCCTTTGCTATTTCCAGGCCGGCTCCATGGGCCAGATTTAAGCACCCCTGAAAACCATGTCAATGAAAAAGGCCCTATCACTTTTTCTGCTCACTCTCCTCTTGTTCCTGTCAATCTGTTCCTGTCACTTAACAGAATCATCTTTCGTCAAATAATATTAATTTAGAATGTTGGACAATTTCCCCAAACTCATCTCTGGTATTTATATTATCATCATTCAACAGAGCACATACAATTATAATGACCTATGGATTCTTAACTTTCATATGCATATGAAACACTACTAAACAACACAGTTTCATATTTTCTATTATATACAGTATTATTTGCCTCCATTCATGATTTAATCTATACTTTTACTTCTCTGCATGTATTCCTCAATTCCATGGCACAATGTCATCTTACAATATCCTTTGCCTTTTTCTTATTTTCACAGACAGACAACATAGTTATTCTTTTATTTCATTTCATTAATGAATTCATGCTCTTTATTATTTATTCCTCTTACATTCCATTCAATATTCTATTATCACATTTCTTAATATTGACTTCTATCACCAATCATGGCTTTGTGCAATCAAGACATTTACACAAACCTTTTAGTGATATAGCTAAACTGATGGATAGGTTTTCAGTCTTAGTCATACCCATGATACGTGTAGAATTCCCTGCTAAGAGTAGGGTCAATTTTGCCAAAAGTACAATCAAAATCTAATTGTAATATAGTATAGTATGGATAAATAGGACAACATTTTGATGTATCAGCTCCAATCTAAGTCCCTAGTTTTGTTAATTTTTCTTTGCTGGGATCAACAATCCTGGGTATGGATCGGTCAATCTATCAAACTCAATATAGGTTTTCTTTTTTCTAATTTTAAAATTTCTACTCCTTTTGACAGAGCAATTATTTTCATAGTTTGCTTTAGAAAAACAGATATTTGTCTATTGTTTTAGTGTAGGCTCTTCCTGTAGTCCTGGAAAAGAATATGTTTGGTTCAAGGAAATGTAGACAGATGCCACATTTGCAATCCTGCACCCTGCAAAGCATGTTCTAGCCTTTGAATCCAAAGTATTGCACAATCCCAGTATTTACTGCTTGTGAAGAGGGCCTTCCTGTGACTTGTTTGTACCTTTGAAACATGAGTGAATATATAAAATATCATTCAATATGCACTCCAGCAGCTGTCAGCATGGATCATTTACTAGATCCCAACGACACAGTACAGAGATTAGGTTTTCCACATGTCAATGTTACCACAGTGTTCCATAGTATTATTATTGCTAAGATATATGAATTTTTTAATATATATAGACTACATGTAGGCTACAAATTTTATAGTGGAATAAATAATATTATCCAAGTAATCATTCCCCTCATTCACACCATTGTATGTGCTACAGGAATGCTAATTTAGAAGTGAAGCTCTTGGCATAGTTCTCCGAGTTCGAGGATTTCTTCAGAGCTGCTTAGCTGAAGTTTATCATGACCATTTTGCTATTGCCTAGCAACTTGCAAAGGCCATAAAAGAGGCCTTTGTCTGTTCTCCTGGCAAAACATTTCCTGACCGATTTGTTCATCACGAATGAAATTAATGGACTTATTTGCTAATAATTCTTTTGTTTTTGGAAAATGCATTTTACAATAAATATTCAAGGTTTATACACACACACACAAAAAGGATCTGTGTAATTTTTACTATAAAAGTTCTATGCCAAGTACTCATGCATTCATCTAGGGGCTGAAATATCTAAACATTAAGACAGAGTTGCTTGCTGACATGTGGCCTTCAAAACAAGAATGTGGACAAATATGTTCCTTTTCCTGTTTGTGTTCCTAATTCTTTTAGAAGTGTTTAGTTAAATACATGTATTAATAAAAGCTTATGTAAGAACACAGTTCATCAGGGAAATAATTGCTCTGTATGTGTACAAAAATAATACATTTTCATTACCAGTCAGATCAGAGGTGGGTTCTACTTACCTTTACTACCGGTTCGCAACGTGGCCGTAAGCACAAGCTCGCTTTGCTCGCACATGTGTGTGTGCTTCTGCGCATGTGCAGAAGCTTCCTGATAACATCGGGGTTGGTGGGCGGAACCTCCCGCCAGTTTTACTACCAATTCTTGTGAACCGGTCCGAACAGGGGGCAACCCACCAGTGAGTCAGATATATAGTCATATTATACTAAGAACAGTTTAACATGTAAGATTGCACTGAACTTCTTTTCTACTTGAGCTGTAGGGATGATCAGAGAAATCCATTAATGCAACCTTGTGATTTCTAGCCATATAAGATTTTTATTTAAAATTATTTTGCTAAACAGTAATTTGGGATTGTAAACAAGTGTAATCATAAATGCTATTTCAGATTAATTTCTCTTATTTCCATAGATTATTAAACTAACAAATAATATATTTATAATGTATTCATATCATATTATGTATTAACCAAAATAAATTATTTAATTTATTAACAGAATAAATTAAATTAACCTGTCTACTCAAAAATAAATTTTGTTAAATTTAATAGTGATTTATTTTGGGAGATGGGAAATAAGAGACTATTTTTATTGGATAAAATACATTGAATGAAAACATCAAAAGCAAGAAAACAACCTCTGAAATAAATCTCTCTTTTTTGTTTGGTCCCAGTAGAAAAAAATTATCTTAAATTGCTTATTTCAAACTCATGTAAATTAATTTCTACATCCAATTTTTAAGGTATGATGTTTGCACAGCTTTCAGTGGATCTAATGACACCCAGCATAGATTCAACAAGAAATTTAATTTATTTGCAAATATAGGTAGCTGAATTTAAAATTCTAGTAGAAAATGTCTGCTCTAAGCTATTGAAAAATAAGTTATGGTACTTTGTGACTTGATTCAGAAAACTGAGCTATCTAGACAAGAATCAGCTTGCAAGAGGTTGATGGTACAACCTCTTTTATGTCTTGACAGTCAATTCAAAGTCCATTCAAATTTTCATTCAATCGGGAAAAATAGCCCCTTTATACTTGTTCAGTATCCTGTATAAAATTAGTTTCTGAGTTCTTGTCAAATTTCAATGTGATTCATTTTCCACTACAGTTATTTCTGTCATTATTTCTCCAGCAAATTTGATAAAAAGACCTGGGTCATAATAGGTTTAACCTACATTCCCCTTTATTCTAACCAAGAAAGATATTTTCCAAACAGGATTCTGTTCCCATCTCCCATAAGAGTTAATATATGGATTGCTGAAAGGAGATTTTTTTCCCCTTAGTTTTACTCTACAAAGAAAAAAGGAAAGGAAAGAGAATAAAATAAAAATAAAAATATCTATTTTAATACCTTTCAAGTACAGATGTAAATTAGCAAGATAGCATGATAATTCCAGACATAATATACAATATATGATTTTTAAAAAGGGAAAAAAGTTTAGTTTTCCCAAATATGTCAAATGATGTTATGAACTTATTAACTGTAAAAGAAAACAAGTCAATATAGTTCCATTGACTTATTTTGCACAATCAAGTGAACTTTTGTTTAGGTTTTTTGTATTCCCAATCTATATATTTTTGAATAAATAACATTTAAAATTATTTAATTTTTGCCCTTCTAATAGATTAAATTGGGATATTTAAGCTATTCAAAAGAGAATATAATCACAAAATATTGCGATTATATTATACAATGCTTTAAGGCAACGTATTCATACATTGCAGAGAAAAGCAAATACTGTTGAAAATAAGTCGGTCTTGATCTGAAACTCAATTGATTCCATCATTGGCATAACTGAATAGCACATGACTAACTATTTTGGTCACCTAATAATTTTGGTTTCTTATTTTTTATAGCAATTCTCCCCCTTTCTCCCTACTGTACCCAGAGGCTCCAACTGGTTCAGAATGTGGCCCTGTGAGTAGTTACGGGTGCGTCCTGCTACTCCCATATAACACCACTATTGTGCGAGCTGCACTGGTTGCCGGTGGTCCTCTGGGTCCGCTTCAAGGTGCTGGTACTCACCTATAAAGCCCTTCATGGCACGGGCACGGGGCATTTGCAGGATCATCTCCTACTGGCCTCCCGCCGCCCAGTGTGCTCACATAGGGCTGCCCTCCTCCGGGTCCCCTCAGCTAGACAGTGTTGGCTGGCGGTCCCCAGGATGAGAGCGTTCTCTGTGGCCGCACCGACCCTCTGGAATGGGTTGCCCACCGAGCTCCGGACTTCCTGACCTCCACACCTTCCGCGCCGAACTAAAGACATGGCTCTTCCACAAACTACCCTGATCTGCCGCGGATTTTAACTTGGGGACTTGGGGATTTTAAATTGGTTTTAATATTATTTAATTTTCACTTATTGTCGGGTTGTCCTATTGCTGTGAACCGCCCCGAGTCCTATGGGAGAAGGGTGGCATATAAATCTGACTAAAATAAATAAATAAATAAATACTTTGAGCTCATTCTGTCCCTGTTTTAACAAGAAGCTTTGTTTAATGACAGGGACCCAAAAGTTACTTCTTGTGGCTTCAAATATAGTAAATAATCATATATACATAAATAATCTCTACATCAATGCTCCTTTTTGGTCAGATGAGCATTACTTGCTTTGCAATTTGCAAGCTTCTCCTTAGATAGAAAGAAATAGTCATATGGGGCATAGAGTCTAGCACACCACTTGGTATGTTAGTAGGTCTATGGAAATCGTGCTGAAACTCCAGACTTACATTATGCTTCATTCACTATTTTATTTCTGGTAGTTTTATTGATCTTCTAGTATTGTTATTGATAACTGTATATATTGATTGTTTTCAGGTATACATTGTGACAGTGTATGCGCTGAAGGACATTGGGGTCCAAACTGTTCATTGTCTTGTTACTGTAAAAATGGAGCATCATGTTCTCCAGATGAAGGAATCTGTGAGTGTGCACCTGGTTACAGGGGTGCTACTTGTCAAAGAAGTAAGTTTCCTGTTCCTAGTTTATTATGTTTATAATACTAACATATATGGAAAAGGAAGAGGATACTGATTAAGAAGAACCAATTGAAACAAAATAATGGCAATAAATTATGGCAATTATATGGTCAAATCATATTTTAAAACCACACCTTTGGGGGTTATTTCTTAATATACTTGTATAGTTGTATTAATATAATATATAATATACGGTAATATTACGTATGTAATATAATATAGTTGTGTTGATTTACTTTTCATTATCTATTTCCCACTCTATCTAATTACTGTTCTCTGCTCTAAGTCTCATGTTTCTATGCACTCTACTCCCAACTTATATTTTTTTCCAACTGTGCTTCTTTTAGTCATAAACTTTTTCTGAAAGTATCCATAAAACCTTACCAAAGAATGGACATTTTCTGTAATCTATTATATCTTTATATTATCATGCTATCATACATTGTGAGAGGACACTTATAGCCTCACTCTGAAAGCTGGAAAAATATGACTTTATTATATTTTCATTTTAATTCTTCTAAGCATTTTATGTTAGTTATAAAGTAATCTGACTCATGACATGAGAATTTATGTAGTAGTCTAAGCTATAGAAATTGGTACTTCTTAATTAACAAAACAATCTGAGTGGTTAATGTTAAACCATCCCTTTATCTATGGGATGTTTAATCTATCAAATTTACTCCCACATCAACCCCATTGAATTGAACTGATGCTACTTGGAAGCCATCCTTAATGAATAGTTTGCAAGACTAACAACAATTGTTACCATCTCTAATGACTTTCAGAGTTAATCATTCAGTTAGTGCTGAAGCGCTGTAAATTAAATGAAGTAATGGCATTATAACATAGACATAGCCTGGAGACTCTCTTTATTATATACAGTATGAGACAGGATAACTTCTTAGTATATGTGGGACAATATTGCATTTAAAAGGATAGTTGCACTAAAGATGTTTATATAACTGTAGCTAACTTATATGAAGAGAGAAGGGGAAAATTATGAATGGGCATTTTTTTTACTGAGAATTTGATGTAACTGGAATGCTTTCTTTTTCCTTCTTAAGGAACCTGTTTCAAAGACATCAGGCTGGTTAACTTCTAGACAATTCTAAAAATGTAAACGCAAAAGTTAGCCTTGTAAATGTTAAATGCTGTTTAATAACTTGAAACATTTGTTAATATATTGATTGGTCCTTTAAAGGAATGCCAGAATATGAGAGTTATAAAGATATAAATTCTACCCAACAATTTATTTCTTCCTCAGTCAATCCAAATGGGGATCTCCCTCACTCTGAAAAAAGGACTGGCATTAGAGTGAATAGGATTTTTTTTTCTTTAAATCATGAATGGAACAAAAACAAACAGCAGCATGCAGCTGTCTGCACTTGCTTTTGTACTGAGAAAAATATTTAAACTACTCAATTGTAGTGACAATTATGACAAGGAAACATTTAATTACAAGCATAATGGTTCTATATACAGTGACACTATAATAAAAATAACAGCAATTTTAGGTAAAATTCATTGTGTATCAAGCTGCCTTTAAATCTCAAATAGTTATTATCTATCTGCGAGACCGCCTGCTGCTACCAACGACCTCCCACCGACTCATGCGCTCCCACAGAGAGGGCCTCCTCAGGGTGCCATCAGCCAAACAATGTAGGCTGGTGACCCCCAGGAGGAGGGCCTTCTCTGTGGGGGCTCCTACCCTCTGGAATCAGTTGCCCCCTGAGATAAGGAGAATCCATGACCTCAGTGCCTTCCGTTGTGCCCTTAAAACCCATCTTTTCCAGCAAGCCTGGCTGGCTTAAGAAGAAATTTTTAAAATTCTTTTAATCGGTTTGTGATTTCTTAATTTCTGGGCCAAATTTATATATATTTTTAACTGTTTTTAATATTTGTATTCTATGTTCTTATTTTGGCTGTACACCGCCCTGAGTCCTCAGGGAGAAGGGCGGTATATAAATTAGAAATTAAATTAAATTAAATTACCTTGAAGGAAATTCACTGGAAGTTGAAAACGAGTTTTGAAAGAAGCAATAGTATATTATTTTCATAATGTTGCCAAGAAAACAAAAAATAGGTCCATAATGTCAGTGGGGATTCAACTGGATGAGGAGACCAGCTTGATTTGAAGAAGATTTAATACTTGAAACTGTATGAAACAAATCTACATAAATTAGAACTTCTCCAGTATTTCTAAATCTCTCCAAATGAATTCAGCTCAGTTCTTTTAGATTAGATAAGTATGTGTGGAAGGTGAATATGATAGCACCATTCTTCTTTCAGTTTGTTCTCCCGGATTTTATGGACATCGTTGTAACCAGGCCTGCCCCCAGTGTGTTCACAGCAGTGGCCCATGCCATCATGTGACAGGACTATGTGACTGTTTACCTGGTTTTACTGGAGCTCTCTGTAATGAAGGTAGGATCACCAAATAATGCCAGCAACTGTTTGCAGTTTTATCCTTATAACACATTTATTTGCTAGGTTTGTACAAATCATTGTAAGAGTTGCTATACTGAGCAGCACAGCCTCATTCAGTAAATGATACATAGGCCTATTATTTACAGTCAGAAAATTAGATCCAAATGGTGGTTCTGCATTTTCAAGCATCAACTTCATTGTTATATATAAAATTTATATCTAAATACATATAAATATTCTTTAAAAATCATGGTTCGCTTGGTGGCAATCATCATCATCATCATCATCATGTGGAGTCTGGTAAAATCTTTCCCAACTATCATATGATGGGGTGAACTGCAGTTCATGAAAGTTGATTGCTAATCAGAAAAAATGCTTCCAGACACTTTTACTTTTTGGTTACCTTGTGCTAACAAAAAATAAGTCATGGAAATAGTTTTCCATATATGATATTTTTACTTACTGAAATAAGACTATTGAGTACTAAATGAGAACAAGGACTAAAAGGAAAGGGCCTTGGTAAATATACCACACCGAAACAAGCAGGGAAAAAGAACGAAGATATAAACAGAAGACAGACAGAATAGTGAGTCCTGGATAATGAGAGAATGTGAGAAGTCTGCAAAGATAAAGAGAAGGAAACCAGAGAAATGGATGAGAAAAACAAAGGTTATAGACAAAAACGATACTGACATCTGATTATTAGTATAAAAGTATCTTAAAAATAGCAATAATGATAGCTATTATGTAGGCCCCATCGTACTTTAGAGAACTCTCTGGGTAATTTTGAACATCAGCATATTGCCCCAAAAATCTGGTTCTTCATTTCCACAGAAAGATGGAAGGCTGAGTCAACCTTGAGCCTGTCAGGATCAAATTCCAGGCTGTGGGCAGAGTTAGTTGCAATACTGCATTGTAACCACTGTGCCACCAAGGCAGAAAGATAAAAACATAAATATTCATGATCTCTGTATCTTATTTGTATAGTTTGTCCAAGTGGAAGATTTGGAAAGAACTGTGCAGGGGTTTGCACATGCACAAATAATGGAACTTGTAACCCAATTGACAAATCTTGTCAATGTTATCCTGGCTGGATTGGTAGTGATTGCTCCCAGCGTAAGTACTAGCATTTCCTTCTTTGGGAAGTTTCTATTTGGGGGATATTTCATTAGAACTTAGTTCATAAAAACTTTTTCCACACAAATAAAATGATTAAAGCAGCATGACTAATTTATCTCACTATATTTACATATCTAATAGTGCCTGAAATATATGTCATGTGCATTTTCTGTGTTTGAAAAATTCAAACTTTACAACATAACCACTAATATAAACTCTATAAATAATTCAGTAGCTCTTAAGTATTTGCTGTACAAATAAATAAAAACATTCCTGTATTTTATCCACGGAAATGTTCACAAAGAAGAGGCTGGAAAATATGGGACTGTCCTTGATAAGTGTATAAAGACAAGCACAGCTGTAACAGACTAAAACAGTGTCGGTTTTTTCCCCTTCATGTAAAGTGTTTTGGAGAGAAGTCAAGTTTCTCAAAGATACAAGTTCTTTCCTATATGTAGACTCACACATTTTCTGGAAAAATATGTACCTTTGTGTGCTCACCACCTACTGGCCAGTTGCTAACTAAGAAGCAAAACTCAGATAAAGACCAGAATGTTCAGAGAACAAGATGGTTGTCCATTAGAGCAGGGGTCTCCAACCTTGGCAACTTTACAACTTGTGGACTTCAGTTCCCAGAATTCCTCAGCCAGCATGTGATGGCTGAGGAATTCTGGGAGCTGAAGTCCACAAGTCGTAAAGTTGCCAAGGTTGGAGACCCCTGCATTAGAGTACTGAACTGTTGACTGGCTGGTGGTACTAGAGTTTGGGCTGTAATGAAGAAGGAACTGGCATACTGAGCTTTGCACACATCAGTTCATCTAAAGAAAATTTAAGACTTAATCTAGCGAAAGTACAGCAAGGCACAGCTAAAAGGAGAACTGAGTCATCGGGGGCCAGTAAAAAGAAATTGTCATTATATAGCAAAGCTAGGGAGAAACAGTCTACAACTTGAAATGAATGAAGATTAGTTGCAAGTGACTGATTCCCCAAGAGAGAAATAGATACAGTAACAACTAGTAGGATAAGAAAAGACTGTGTAGAGACCGAAAGTGAAAACAATTTAGAAAGGTGGGAAAACTGAGAAATGTCATTTAAGAAGAATGTACTCCCTGGTGTATACAGTAATTACTATCATATTGTTGCCAATGTTTTTGAGAACTAGAATCCCTTCATTTAAAGAGGGGGATTTTGGTGGGGGAGGGAAACGAGCTTTTGGTGATGAAATGTTTCTGAGAGAAGTTGGCTGACAAAATTAGTGGGCACAGAAGAGACTAGTATAGAAGTCATATACTTAAGGGAAATAGTACAGAAGTGGGGGAGAGCTACTATTGCCTTCCAACAGTATATTTCACTGATAACGGCTTCATTTAGTGACCTACTAAATGAGGAATTCTGTCCTCTATTAGCAAAAATAATTGGAAGGCTTAGAAGAAATGTTCATGGGTAACTTACCTATCCCATTGATTAATGTAGATTTAGCTAATTGCTTATATATGCATAAGAAGTTGATGGAATTGGAGGACTTTTTAAGACAGTTGGGAAATTTCAGGAGAAATGTTTGCTTGCTGGGTTGCTGCTACTCTTCAAGGGTAGTACAGACTGAGGAAAGTGATGTGTGCAAGCAGCATCCTTCTGGTTGTCTGGCAGGAAGAAATGTCACGATCTTTGCAACAGAAGTGAGAGGGTGGCAGAAGCTCATGTTCAAAGTGGCCAGTGATTAGTACAACTGAATGAATCTTCCACACCTATCTTCAGATGTGTTCTGCATATGGTGGTCAATGCTAATGGAATGGATGAATGGAACAGGCCGAATGGTGTGGAGAGACTGGGAGTTAGATTAGATTCCAGGAATATGGTAGTCGAGGCATTGGGAAAGTTAGTTAAAAGAACAGGACTTAATAGTGTTGCATCCCTTTTCTTCTGAGTCAGTTGTTTCTCACCTGGGTCCAGTTCTGGACTGTTGTCAACCTTGGTCTCCAGCTACTGTTGATAAATGATAATGGTTCTTGTTTCCTTACCAATAAGCAACTGATAAATTGGCGAAAAGAAGTAAATGTGCCAATTGAAGGAAAGGAGACAGGTGTTAAGCTTGACTTTTAAACCCTGGAAAATCTATTTTATGTCATTCCTGTGAAAGGAATATAAAGAAAGAAGTATCCCCATTACTTTAAAAAGCCTTTGGAATTATTTCCATAAAACTCTGATTTTTTAAAAATATATGCATGACTTGGCAACCCTTACTCATCATTGGCTTCTCCACAGCAAATTGTTCATTATGGAGGACATTTAAAAAAAAACCCGTTAACCAAAATTTTTATAGTCTCATTGTAGTCCTACTTGCTATATTTTTAAACATTGTCTTTAAAAATTGGATAATTTTGCTATGTACATTCTCTCAGACAAAATTCATACTATATTTATTCTGCATATTTTTGTATTGCAATAAAGCTAACTGATTTGTTTTGTTTCAGCTTGCCCTCCTTCTCATTGGGGCCCAAACTGTATTCATACATGCAATTGCCACAATGGCGCTCACTGCAGTGCTTATGATGGAGAGTGTAAATGTACACCAGGATGGACTGGTCTCTATTGCACACAAAGTGAGTTAGACATATTTACCTTGATCAATGCAGAAACAGTAATATCAAAATTAAAAATGAGTGGAACTGCTGTTGGGTGACAAAATAATCCATCTGCTTTCTGGGTTTTTTTTAAGGAATTCTTAATGCCTTCTAGTAATATTATTCATAAATCAGAAAGTGAGAAATGGTATTGTATAGAATATAAACCAGAATGAAAAATTAGAATTCCAACAGCTGTGCATGTTTCAAAAATAATTACAAATGTATCAGACTTGCATGAATATAGCACCTTTCTATTCATTTAAGCAGTTGGATCCCCTCCTTCCCAACTCAAAAGTGTCAATGCTTTAAGACTTGAATGAGTGGATTAAAGGGAAGCATGGAGAAAGTGAGGTTGCTTTTAAGAATTACAGGAAGGTCTGCAGCCATACTTTTTGATGTTCACATAGCTTTTTTTTTTTCAGGATCATTTATAAAGAATGTGTCCTACTATTTTTTTACTAGTAATGGCAATTAGTTCTCAAACAATTATTGATTTGGAAGGATGGGGAGGGGGGCGTGGCTTCTGAATATTCATCTCCTACAATTATAATAATGATACAACATTTATATTGCACCAGAATTACATAATTTTAGGAAGAAATACAGAGTCATACTGTTACTCTGGGTTACCAGAATCCTTACTATTCAAACTTCAGTTCTTTTCTGCTCTGATGCAAAATAGTTTTCTCTCTTGAAAATCGATTGGATTTCATTCAAAGTAATGAAGTCATGGGATTTAGAACATAGTTTATACAACTTTAGAATTATACCCTACTAAGATCCTACTAAGGAAGTTCAGCAATTTTTATTAGAGAAGTGTTAGTTCAATTATAAACACTTTTAAAGATAATAACGTTTTATCTTTTCTTTGGATTATGAATTCTGTATTTTTAGGCATAGGTTATTTGGTTCGGAGTGGTGATTATTGAACATAAACGGCTTCATTTTATTTTCTTACTTTCTTCTTCAAGGATGTCCGCTGGGGTTTTTTGGGAAAGACTGTGCTTCAATCTGCCAGTGTGAGAATGGAGCTGACTGTGATCACATTTCAGGCCAGTGTACATGTCGCACAGGATTCATGGGAAAATACTGTGAACAGAGTGAGTTGGAAACTTTTCCTACACATTGTTAAGAGAAGATGTATGTATAATTAAAACTTACTAAGCTCTTCTTTCATATTTAGATTTAGGCTGACTATAATAAAATTTTACACGGATAACTAAGTGGATAAGACAAAGACAATGATACTTAATACATTATGAACCGTAATGTACACATCCTGAATTCAATCCAAAGTGAGGTTATTTAAAGTTTGATCTTAAATCATGATTTTCACTGAATTTGATGGGATTAAGAGAAGGGACGCGGTGGCTGAGTGGCTAAGGCGCTGAGTTTGTTGATCAAAAGATCGGCAGTTCAGGGGTTCAGGGGTTCAGGTTCAGGGGTGAGCTCCTGTTACTTGTCCCAGCTTCTGCCAACCTAGCAGTTCAAAAGCACGTAAAAAATGCAAGTAGAAAAATAGGGACCACATTTGGTGGGAAGGTAACAGCGTTCCATGCGCCTTTGGCATTTAGTCATGCCGGCCATATGACCACGGAGACGTCTTCAGACAGTGCTGGCTCTTCAGCTTTGAAACAGAGATGAGCACTGCCCCCTAGAGTCGGAAATGACTAGCACATATGTGCAAGGGGAACCTTTACTTTTAAGAGTGCATAGTTAGCTCCTTAAAATTGCAATTCTAAGCAAAGTCACTGGCATCCACATTTCTTTGAAATCAATAGAGTGTAATGTAAACAGGGGGATTTAGATGGAGGTTTGTATTCTAGGTGAAGTTACTTTCAATAATATTTCATCAGTTTAAAAACAACCTACAATTTTCTTTTTCTTTTCCTCTAAAAACTGGTATATGTTCTGAATATTATAGTTGGCTTTGGTGTATGATGAGAAACATTTTACTAGTATTTTTCCCTTAAACTTTTTTTTTCTAAAGAAAATGTTTACAGTTAATACCCAGGAAACTACATTTCAACTTCAATTAATGCAATTACTAACAAACATATTTTTATAATATATGTAAAACATCACAATATATTTTATTCCGGTAGTTTGATTTCTTTTGTAACGAATGGTTTCCCAGCTATTTTTAGCAACCTGATTTTCTGTAGAGCCTCTTTTGAAAATTGGTGACAACATTATCTTCTATTGAGTTAATACTATGTTATACATGCATTTATTTTAAATCGTATTTGATTGCATTTATAATGATCTTTCAGCACATCAGAGTATGGTTTAGATATAAAGTCTTCTTGTGAAACGTCGCCACCTGGTGGTGACCGATTGCATCTGCAGGCTTTCCATAAGAATTTATTCATAGAGCTTCAAGAAAAGCTTATAAACTAATCCGGCTACAGCACTGTAAACATACATACGTGACTTTGTTTCATAGGAAAACTTCCTATCATGAAATAGGGCTTTTCTTTATCCATCTTCCTGCATACACTCAATTCATTTAAGGCCTGCTTTTCATAAACGGTGGGGAGAGAAATGTTGCATAGGAAATAGACTCTTTCCTGCCCTGCTGATCAACCGATACCCATTAAGGTGGCAAATCTTCACTCGCCATTACTAAGAATTTGGAAGTCCTAGTTTTACTCTAAGCTGCTCATAGTCACTTATGACTAGTTTATGAATCTGACTGCAAACTAGAATAAAGTAAAAACTCTATGTGCTTTTTTTCTTGCTTTCTAAAGAGTGTCCCCCGGGTACTTACGGTTATGGTTGTCGGCAAATATGCGATTGCCTGAACAACGCAACTTGTGACCATATCACTGGAACCTGTTACTGTAGCCCTGGCTGGAAAGGAGCAAGATGTGACCAAGGTAATATTTTCTAAAAATTGCTCATTAAAAAGGTGACATGACTGCCTCCCAGAGTATATTTGTGTGGGTGCTTTTGTTATTTCAGTTTTTGGATTAGAATACTAGACAACGATGAAGAATGCTGAGAGTTTTAATTTCACAATATGTGAAGCTTATTAGGATCTCACTCGCACTCGATATATGCATAACCAGAGACAATTCTTTATATTTTACATGGCACCGACCTCTTCCTAAGCATGATTAAGATCGGACGTAATGCACAATTTAATGTATGTTAACTGTTTTACATTAAGAGGATTTGATCTGAACTAAGTTGGTTCAGGATTAAAAATTAAACATCTACCTATTTGATCTAAGTAACATTTCCATGTCTGCCAATCAGATTTTCCACTGGCCAAGACATAGTGTGACAAGTTTGATTGCAGGTCCCCAACAGGAGATGGGCAGAAAAGAAGAGACAAAGGTGTTGGGCAAGCACCTTCAAGCCATAGACCCTTGTTTTCCTTCTTTCTTTTATGCTGCTTTCTTTTCCCGTCACTGACTCACTGCCTCCAAAATGGCTGAATTGAGCAGAGGAAGATATGTGTTAGCCAAAGTGACAAGCATTGTGCAGACACTCTGCATAATGCCAAGACTTGTTGATGTAGAGATTAATCAGCAATACTTAGTGTAGGTTGCCAAGTTTTAGCAGTATCTGGCAGACTGTTTTCAAGGGGGGGGGGAAACTAAAACTAGTTTGGATGAACCTCAGATCACAACAGTTAGATAATGCCGGTAATGGATTGTTCTAAAGTCTCTGACAGCTTTATTGCTGACTGGAAATTTGAGTCCAATTCTATTCCAGTGCTTTAACTAATGTACTACTCCCTGTGAAGTGATTTTTAAGAACCAGGACTCTTAAAGCAACTCTTTTAAATATATAACTCAATAATGTAATGTAATTGTTATGTGAAAGCATATTTTCAAAAAAAAAAAAAAAATCTGAGTACCAGGCACCTTATCCATTTTAAAGCATACTTAAACCATTTATAAATTAGTATATATTAGACATTTTCAAAACATTTTGAGATTGAAATGTGATGATCCCCAAATGCCCTGTTTCCACCTTAGAACAGCGATTCTAAAATTAATTTCTAATTTTAGAATTAGAAATAATTTATTGCAGGAACTGTACCCATTTCCTAATAGTATGTTCTAACTCAGAGATGGGGCGGGTGGGGGGGGGATTGCTACAGTGTCAGAAAACTGCCAGTAGATTAGAACAGAGTTGAGATTGAACAATATTTTCACTTCAAAACATGTCATATGCTTCTAGTATACTGTATATTGTTCCGGTTAGGCAATCAGAATTAAAATATGCACATAGGACTTCTTTTATATGTTTATGACTGACTTTTTCATTTGTTTTCTTTTTCTTTTCTTTTCTTGTTTTTGCAGCAGGGGTGATCATTGTAGGAAACCTGAACAGTTTAAGCCGTACTAGCGCTGCCATTCCATCTGATTCTTACCAAATTGGAGCCATTGCTGGAATCATAATTCTTGTCCTTGTTGTCCTTTTTCTGCTTGCATTGTTCATTATTTATAGACAAAAGCAGAAAGGGAAAGAAACAAATATGCCAGCAGTTACCTACACACCTGCCATGAGAGTTATCAATGCAGATTATACAATTTCAGGTAGGAATATAGTACTGCAAGCATTAATTCTATCTCTGTTAGACATTTAGACTTTCTGGCTTTTCTTTGAAGATGTTTCACTTCTCATCCAAGAAGCTTCTTCAGCTCTGAGCTTCCGAGCTGAAGAAGCTTCTTGGATACGAAGTGAAACGTTTGCAAAGAAAAAAACCAGAAAGTCCAGTTGCCTCTTGAAAAAGCACCTCTCGGCTTGTCGTCAGCGCTGGGTGTAATCACACCACAGTGCTATTTAACAAAACAAAAACTCAGCCCCTTAAACATACATCCGGTGATTATCAATCAAGCACCCCCCACTCCCTTAACAGTAACAGCTGCGAGCACCAGAGCAGCGAGGACAGCAGAATCGGAGAGGCCCAGCAACGTCATCAATCATCGCCCTGAATGCTGCTATCCAGGAACTATTTGTGTGTTCGCTGCGGCTGCTTATCTCCACTCCTTTTCCTCCCACACCCTCCATTGATGGCGAGCTCCGGTAGGACTCGACAGGACCTTTGGGACAACCATGACCAGGATGACTGAGAATCTCCATAGACTACATCTGTTAGACATAATTTTAGCAAAGAAATTTAAAAAATTGTTTCAGTTGTTAGGGGCTTTGTACATTATTAGCAAAATCTATAGGAACAGAAGATTTTGCTTTGATTGATTAGTTGATTATGTGCCATTAAGGTGTTTTCGACTCCTAGTGACTGCATAAATCAGGAGTATCAAACTGATGGCCCATGGGCCAAATGCATCACAGATAGACCATGCCCCACCCCAGCTCTGCAAAGAGAAAAAAAAATGTCATGATATGTCATATGACATCACATGACATGATCAAGTTTGACATCCATGGCATAGACCACAGTGCTATGAAGAAAAATGAAAATCTAGAATTCTTTCTTATATCCTCAGTATAGTATTTTATAGTTGAAGTTATTTAGCATCTCCTACTTGTTAACCACTAACTTCCTATACATTGCTTAGCTGTAGTCATTACAATCCCCCAATGTAATGTAATGTCTTTAATCCAGCAATATTTGATCTTCCAGATATTGTTGAATTCCAGTTCTCATCTGCCAAAGCAAGAATGGCTACTATTAAACAATGATGGGAATCCAATATTTGGAAAAATTTAGTTACCTGTTTTGCTTTATCAGGACAATTTATAGACAGATATTTCAGTAATATATGGGGAAACCAAACAGATCAACATTCATTGCTCCTGCTAATGAACGTATTACCTTTATTTAAAAAGAAATTGATATGTGGGTGTGGGAAAGTAATGGATGTATGACATTGCAAATTACATGGCTTGAGCAATATTATATCTGCTTTGACCTTTATAGAGACTGAAAAACAATTATATTTCATTTTGGTAACAAGCTGCATTTGAAACATCCACATAAAAACTGATGAAAGGCCAGCAATAATTTGAATTATTAAATAAATTTTTAGAGTGCAGAGAGAGACATGCATTTTATTTTCATAAAGCTGTGAAATATTAAATGACCATTTAGTATATTTTTTTAAAGAATCATAATAGTTGAGGAAGAGACTAAATTCAGAAGATGAATTTAGGAGTGAAAAAGTAGTGCAAAGCAATGATATAAACCATTCTTAATCTGTGCTTTAATTCTAGGAGAGCTGTTTGATAGTTCTTAAGAATTACGATATAAAAGCCAAAGATGGTTAGTGATAAAGATCTACTTTTTTTTCTTTTCAGAAACCATTTCTCATAATAATGGTGGAAGCACTAATAGTCACTACTTCTCTAACCCCAGCTATCACACTCTAACACAATGCTCAAATACAGCAAATGCCAACAACATGAATAGGATGACTCTGTCAAAGGTAAGAAAATAAAAAGCCTGCATACTTTGTGCTACATGGATGTATGAACTGCTTATCTCAAAAAAGACTATACTTATAAAACACCACACTGTATAGAACTTGTCTTCTATACAGTGGTGGTATTCAGCCGGTTCGCACTAGTTTGGGTGACCCGATTGTTAAATTACCCCCATCCACCCCCACTATCAAAGTGGATCCAGGGCGCTGCAATGGAGAAACGGGTAACAGAGCAGCTGGCACGAGGGAAGGAGAAGGCTGTTTTCCCTCTTCCTTCTCTCTGCTCCTCCTCCTTCCCTCATGCCGGCCACTCCTTTGCCCATGTCTCCATTGCAGTGCAGTGCAGCACCCAGGATCCACTTTGATAGTGGGGGTGGGGGGGATAATTTGCCTGGCCAAACTAACCCTGCAGTCTCCCCTACATTGGGCCCAGCTTCAATCATGCTGCCAACTTAATCCCTCACCCCTCTCACTTTTGCCCACAGACTGACAACACCCCCTGCATGCAGCTCCATGGGTAGGGGGAATCCCTCCCTCCACTTCCCCCCAATTCTTCACCTTCCTACGTGAACTCTCACAATCATCAACTCCTTGTCTCTATGGTAATCTCCCGTCCTCATTCCTCGGAAACCTTGCCTCTTAAAGGAGCTGCATCCAGAAGGCTGAAACAGACGTAAGACCAACATGCAGACAAGCAACCCTCAGAAACAGCCTTTTGACAAAGGGTGGAAATATAACAACTGGTTCGCCCAGGGTCAGGTTGGCCATTGCGGGAGGCTCATCCTGCATGTACAGTGGAGCTGGAGGACAGGGATGGGCCATGCCTCCCACAACAGCCAACCTGACCCTGGGTGAACCGGTTGTTAAATTATTGGATTTCTGCTACTGCTTTTATACAATGAAATATACATTATTTACCTTCCTTTTAATTTGAAACAGTCAAACAAGAACCAATTGTTTGTGAATCTTAAAAACATGGATCCTCAGAAGCGAGCCCCCATCATGGATTACACAGGGACATTGCCAGCTGATTGGAAGCATGGAGGCTACCACAATGAATTAGGTAGGAACATAAAAGTAGACAGTTCTGAACCTGATACTGTAGATTTTAGAAATTAGGAACAATTAGTGCAATAAATATAACTATTCCCAGCAGAAGAGACTACTAATATATTTAGATTTTCTTCTTATCCATTATTTACAGGAGTTTTTGGAGCTGACAGAAGCTGTTTGGGGAAATCCTTGAAAGGTGAGTATGAAATTTCCCCAAAAGAAAATGCATCAGCATATGGCAGATTTCTTGAAGTTGGACAATCCTGGACCTGATCCTATTCTGGATAGGACCCATAAAAATATGTAGGAACTATAAATTAATACTGAGAATATGTTAATTCGTGAACCTCAGAAACATAGGTAGCCCTCAACTTACAATCTTTCATTTAGTGACCATTCAAAGTTTACAACATTGAAAAAAGTAACTTATGAATCTTTTTCACACTTATGACAGTTGCAGCATCCCCATGGTCATGTGATCAAAATTTGGACACTTGCAACTGACTCATATTAACAACTGCAGTGATTCACTTAACAGCTGTGGCAAGAAAGATCGTAAAATGGGGCAGAACTCATTATCTCAACTATCTTGCTTAGCAATAGGAATTTTGGGCTTAATTGTGGCTGTAAGTCGAGGACTGTCTGTATGTTCTGATACTATGTAAAGTTTTTTTAATATGTTGCATTACTCCTGAACTTAAAGGAAAAGAATACAAAAATAGGTTTTTCCCTTAGGCCCTTTGAGCATCTTTCCACCCATCATTTTATTTAACAGAGTTAGAAACTTTTTGGTTATTAGGACTACCCTCTGCTCAGTCAAGAAATCCTTATTAAACTATTTCCATATACAGCTGCACCACCTCTGCTCCCAATGAATGTTAGCCCATCATCTCTTTGGTTACATTTTTTGGTTTCACCAGCAAAAAAATATGAATCTTCAATACCCCATAACCTACACTGAGGCTAAACATTCTGAGCTCCTTCAATCTCCCTTTCTAAGGTTTAGTTTTTCTTCCTTATTCTCTGAACTTCTTCAATTTTATCTGAATGTTAGAAATGTGCCCAGAATTCATTGCAATACTGAAGTGGAAATACTAATCCCTATGATTCAGAAACTATATTTATGTAGATACAGCCTAAAACAATGTTGGCTCTGTCTACAGCCTCATCATGATACCGATTTATATCAAATTCATAATTGGCTACTATTCCAAGGACTTTCATTTTCATTAAATTCACTGTGAATAGTTGAAACAATGCAGAAGAAATCATTGGCTTAGCATGAACTAATTTGCCGATTTGTTTCACTGTTATTGCTGTATATGTTGCACTAGAAATAGAAACTTGACAAATAACCAAAACATTTCAAAGAATAATTCTAATGTGTTATTCGTTGTCATTCTATAGTACTGTTAAATTATAATTTTTGTGTTTTTTTAGACCTAATAAAGAATTCTGAATATAATTTAAGTAACTGCTCCTTAAGTAGCTCTGAAAATCCATATGCTACTATTAAAGATCCACCAGCGCTTATGCCAAAAAATTCAGAATGTGGATATGTTGAAATGAAATCACCAGCACACAGGGATTCTGCCTATGCAGAAATTAATAACTCTGTTTCGTCTAACAAAAATGTATACGAAGTTGGTAAGTGCCAATTTTAGAAATTTACCACTTATGTGACAGTAACCTTTGTTCTGTTTTTCTCGATTTTGCTTCCACATCATCAGTCTGTCAGTTTCTGTGACTCTACCTTCTATTTAAATACAAAATACATACATACATACATACATACATACATACATACATACAGACAGACAGACAGACAGACAGACAGACAGACAGACAGACAGACATACATACTGGTAATGAACAGCTTGATTAAAAAAAATCTTAAATTAGAAGGCATTAGGATGGTTTCCTAGGAGGCTCCCTTCTATCTTGTGTTGTCATGATAAATTACTATGGGAAAGGGGGAAAAACATTATTTTAAGCAGAAATTATTTAAGTGCTACATGAGGACTAATTCATTAGTTGAAAAGCCACAACGTTAAAGCTTTTTCATATAACTGATTAAAAAATTGCTAGTGAGCTCAAAATGAAGAAAATGGGCGTTGGTCCTACCTGATACGCCCGTTCTCTCCCGCGGGAGGGAACGGCAGGCAGCGCTGGGTAGACTCCGTCAGTTGACCAATCAGGACCGGGTCTGCAAGGAGTTTAAGCCCCGCCCTTCCTGTCGTTCTCCAGTTTATCGGCGAGGATTTCACTGCAGACTGGCGTGTCTCCTGCTGAGAGTAAGGAAAAGATAAGTAGAACCCGCCCCACCCCGGCACAAACGGCTCATCCCCCAAGAGGGTGGGGGCTGCCTGCCGTTCCCTCCCGCGGGAGAGAACGGGCGTATCAGGTAGGACCAACGCCCATTCTCCTCCCTGACAGGGAACGGCAGGCAGCGCTGGGACATACCAAAGCTTGATGTCCAAGGGCGGGCCAAATAGGGTGAGCCGAGGATCAAGACTCATGCACTCGTTGAAGGACCCGTCTGCCGAAGGCCGCATCCGCTGACGCGTAGACATCCAGACGGTAGTGTCTGATGAACGGCGTCGGAGTAGACCAGGTTGCCACCCTGCAGACTTCTTCTAGTGAAGCCTGGGTAGCCCAGGCGGCAGAGGTGGCGGCACTCCTGGTGGAGTGAGCAGTCACACGGGCAGGAACCGGCAAGGACTGGGACTCGTATGCGAAGGCAATTGTGGCTCGGATCCAGCGACCCAGAGTTGGAGCAGAGACCTTGGATCCCATTGCGGTAGGTTGAAACGAGACGAACAGGGCCTCGGTCTTACGAAATGAAGCAGAACGGGAGATGTAGACCTTCAAGGCTCTGCGTACGTCGAGAGTGTGCCACGCCCTTTCTAAGCAGTGAGACGGATTAGGACAAAAATTGGGCAAGGAGATTTCCTGTGAACGATGGTACAAGGAGTTAACTTTGGGGAGAAAGGTGGGGTCCAAACGGAGGACAACTTTGTCATGATGAAAAACACATAGGTCCTTGCGGACTGACAAGGCGGCCATCTCGGAAATGCGACGAGCTGAAGTTACTGCGACCAAAAAGGCCACCTTAAAGGAGATAAATTTCAAAGACGTCGTCCGGAGAGGCTCGTAAGGAGGCCGAGTCAAGGAGTCCAACACTTTTGAGAGGTCCCAAGTAGGGAAGCGGTGGACAACTGGAGGGCTCAAGTTGGATGCCCCGCGTAGAAATTGACGGATCAAAGGATCCTTAGTAATAGCTGCCAAGGATGCGCAAGCAGAGACAGAAGCCAAGGCAGCGGTTTGTCGCTTTAATGTAGACGGGGTCAGGCCAGCTTCAAACCCATCTTGGAGGAAACCGATGATGTGAGCCACCGAAGGTGAAGTAGGACTGATCCCTCGGGTTGAGCACCAAGATGAGAATGAGCGCCACGTAGACTCGTAAATATGAGTAGTGGACGGTCGCCGCGCAGCCTGCATGGTGGTAATAGCGGCGGGAGGAATATTGACCTGGGTCAAGAACTGCCGCTCAGTCTCCAGGCGGTTAGCTGCAGCCATTGGGGCTCCGGATGTACGACAGCCCCCTGGAGAAGGCAAATTTGATCGGGATCCGCCAGGGCCGGGCAGTGGACAAGGTGATCAGGTCCGAAAACCATGGCCGACGGGGCCAGTGTGGAGCTATGAGGATCAGTTCCGATCTCTCTGCTAGAAGTTTCCGGAGGACCTTGGCGATGAGCGGCAGAGGGGGAAACGCATAGAACAGAATGCCCTGAGGCCAGGGGGACCGAAGGGCATCCACCGCCTCCGCTCCCGGAGACGGGAACCTGGAAAAGAAACGTGGTACCTGATGATTGTCATGGGAAGCGAATAAATCAACCCCAGGTCGGCCAAAGCGATTGGAGATGTCCTGGAAAAGATCGGGATGTAGCTTCCATTCGGAATGGTCCACCAAGTTACGGCTAAGGGAATCCGCCTGAATATTGGACTTGCCAGAAATATGAGAAGCCCGTAAGGAAGCTAAATGAGATTCGGCCCAGGAACCAAGTAGTAGAGATTCTCGAAGAAGAGACCGAGAATGTGTACCTCCCTGTTTGTTAATATGGGCCTTAGCAGCAACATTGTCAGTTAAGACAAGCACGTGCTGGCCCTGAAGCAGGTGTCGAAAATGACGTAAGGCGAGGAAGATCGCCCGTAACTCAAGAAAATTAATGGAAGAACCCAGTTCCTTCTCGTTCCAGATACCCTGAACCATAAGAGAGTTAAGGTGAGCCCCCCAGCCGGAGAGGCTCGCATCAGTAGTGAGAACCATCCTATGAGGCTCCTTAAACAAGGTACCCTTGGCAATGGCCTCTGAGCCCCACCATCGCAAGGAATCCAAAACAGTAGGAGGAAGAGAGACCTTGCGCAAGGAAGAAACAGAAAGAGAACATTGAAAGGGGAGCAGGTACCATTGAAGGTGCCTGCAATGTAAGCGGGACCAGGAGACAATGTCAAAGGAGGACACCATTTTGCCCAGAAACCTGGAAAGAGAAAGAATAGATATAGGTCGGCCTGACAAACATTGGGAGGCCATATCAGAAAGGCTGGACTGGCGAGCTGGAGAAAGAGAAACTGTGGATGAGAGAGTGTCAATGACAGCACCTAAATGTAGGATGCGATTTGAAGGACACAGGGAGCTCTTGGTCCAATTAATCAAGAAGCCATGAGCCTGAAGAAGGCGGAGCGTGGTGGTAACATCTTGTTGAGCCCCCTGAAGGGAGGAGGAAAGAATAAGAATATCATCCAGGTAGAATAGAATACGGATGGGTAGGGACCGGATGTGGGCCACAAGGGCGGCCATCAACTTGGTGAATACCCTGGGAGCAGAAGAAAGTCCGAAAGGGAGTGCCCTATATTGGTAGTGGGAGCCCCTATAGTAAAAGCGGAGGAATTTGCGGTGGGGTGGAAAGATGGGGACATGCAAATATGCTTCGGTTAAATCAACTGAAGCAAGGAAATCGCCCTCCCGGATGCATTCCAAGATTGTAGAAAGGGAATGCATCTTGAACCGGCGGTACGTTATGTACCGGTTCAATGCTTTCAGGTCTAAAATGGCGCGCCAGCCCCCCGAAGCTTTAGGAACCAGAAAAAGCCTGGAATAAAAACCTGATCTACGCTCAGCTGGGGGAACAGGTTCAATGGCCTCGATCTGAAGGAGGTGGGCAACCGCTGAAGCCATACGGGCGCGGGAGGAAGGATCCTGAGAAAGAGAGCAAGGAACAAAAACACGGGGAGGGGAAGCTCTAAACTCTAAACGAAGGCCGTCTGTAACAGTAGAGTGAACCCAAAGATCGGAAGTGGAAATAAGCCAGGCATCAGAGAAGAAGGCAAGGCGGCCTCCAACCAAGGAATCTGGAGGAGGGTTAACGAGCCTTGTGAAAGGGATGGCCTCTGCCGCCGCGGAAGGACCTTCTAGGGGGAAACCTGGAGTTGGACCTAACCTGGAATTCCTGGCCTTGCGTTCCTCTGGAAGAATAGTTGCGAGAGGAGCGGTGAAAGGAAGATCCGCTGTCAGGTGGACGAAAGGACTGGGCTCGCTGAAAGGATTGTTGACGAAAGTCTGACCTACGAGAGACCACTGGAAAAACCTTCTTGTGGTCCCTGGTCTCAACCAGTATTGGATCAAGGGAGGAACCAAAGAGGTTAGTCCCTTCATATGGAGAGGCAGCCAGGCGCCATTTGTTCCTGGCATCAGCCTGCCAATGGCGAAGCCAGAGGAGCCTGCGGGAGGTGACAGAGGATCCAATGGCCTTGGCTGCAAAACGGGCCGAATTAAGGGAGGCGTCGGCCGAAAATTCAACAGCTGCCAATATTTTATTGATGTCCTGATGAGAACGTGAGTCGGAGGCTGGAAGGCGATCCTGCAGCTGTTTCAACCACAAAATAGAGGCCCTGTTGAAAAAAGAAGCCGCCGAAGCGGTTCTTACCGCCCAGGCGGAGGCTTGGTGACCCTTGACAAGGGTCCGCTCGGCTCGTTTGTCCTCCGGACGCAAGGACTCCTCAGGAGGACCGGCAAGGTGAGTGGTAGAAGACAAAGAGACAACTGGGGTGTCCACCTTTGGAACCTGCAACAAGTCAGAAAAGTCATTTGGCATTGCATAAAACTTTTTATCCTGAGAGTTAGGCAGGGGCCCAGAACCGGGAGATGACCACTGTCTCTTCACCACATCTGAGAACAGCTTCGGTGCAGGTAAGGTATCCACTGGAACTGGTCTTTCCGCGAAAAGGGAAGCAGAAGGATCTTCAGATGAAGAAGTCGCTGCAGAAACAGGTGGAACTGGCAACATCTTGGTAACAGACAACGCCTTGAACAACAAAGAACGAAAGAGGTGAGGTTTGAAGAGACCCACAAACGCCGGCTGGTCAGGAGCCAGGCCTTCATCATCAGACCATTCCTGGTCCAAGGCCAGGTCCTCAGCAGAAAGGGAGATCTGGCTGGCAGACGTAGGAGAAGGAGGTCTCCCCAGATTGGGTGAAGCTTCCCCCCCCGGGAGAAATGACTGACTTGGCTGGAGCAGTCTAAAATATCCGATTCTGCACGCTGTTGCAGGCCCTCAGAGATCCCCTGACGTATGGCGGTTGCAATAAGGGAGGCCAGAGCAGGGGAAATAGTGGAAGGTAGAGAGTCATTGGAAGGTTGGGGTGGCGGGGGGGGAAGGAGGGGGTGGAGAAGATTTCTCCTGGTCTTGGGTGCCAGGATCAGGAAAATGTCCCTCAGGAGGCAGAGTTGCAAACAAAATGGCGGCCCCATCTGGAGAAGGAGAAGCCCCTGTAGTCAACCGATCTGGAGAAAGCTCAGATCTATGGCAGATCTGGGGCTGGGCCTGAATAGAAGAAGAAGCCCCAGCTGGAGGGGGCTGAGGAGTATTTGAGGCGGGAGAAGGTAAAGGATGCTTAGAGGCTTGGATTTGGGCCTTTTGAACCGCCCTTTCCAGGGCCCTATGTCGGCGCTGTTCGTCTTTCCTGGTCTGAGCCGACTTGTCAGGAGGGGCAGATGACACTTTGGGCCTCTTAAGGCCTCGATGATGGCCTGAGGTCCCTTCCCCCAGATCGCTGTTATGGCGCTTCCTCTCCTGATGGGAGCCCGCCCCACGACCAGCTCTCGAAGAACGGGTGTCCGCCATCTTGGATTCTCCCCCCGTGGGCCTTGCCTGAAACTGCCAGCCGGCAGTTAGGAGCAGCGATCGATCGTCCGGAGGCCAAGAATGAGCCGTTCCAAGCAGGAACACAGCAAAGGCTCCCTTAAAACCGCGCCGTTCTCCTCCCTCTTCTATTATTTATTTTTATTTTTGTTTTGGGAAGATCTGTGATCAGACAGTGCAGGAGACACAACTGTCCAAGTCGACCGAGTCGATAAACTGGAGAACGACAGGAAGGGCGGGGCTTAAACTCCTTGCAGACCCGGTCCTGATTGGTCAACTGACAGAGTCTACCCAGCGCTGCCTGCCGTTCCCTGTCAGGGAGGAGAATTAAATTTATTATGCCAATAAACATTCATTTATGAAATAAAAATACTGTGAAAGTGAAGAACCTTTTCACAATTTCATTTCAGTTATTTGGTATTTTCTGAATTACAGTATAAAATTGTTGGATGTTATCATCTGAAAACTTGGCAGGACTTATTTCTTATAAGAGGCAACTATGGCCAAAATTATTTCCAATTTTGCGAAGAAATGAAAATGTTATTGGCAGCTCTTTAAAAAAAGTTTGTGTTCAATTTGGCATGTGTCATCCTGTTATATAATTCAACTACAATTCCTGAAAATTCAGCTCAACTTCAGATTTCTTGTCATGGAAAGCAGGGTAAAATAGATTAAATAAACATATAAGTGACACGGGAAAACAACAGGTGATATGTTGTGCTTTCCAGTTATTATTAATGGGAAAGCACTGAAGTTGGTTTTGAATTAAGTTTAAGATTGGAGCCTAAGCTTCATTTATCTTGTTTGGCTGTCACGGATGGACATTAAACAGCTTGAGGCAGAAAGTGGGATCAGTTACCCTGGAAAGTCTGTGTTCATGGGAAATAAGATAGGGCCAAGAAGGAGATAGGGCAGTCTATCTGGAAGCTCCAGGGCAGTGGGGATTTTTACCGGTTCGCCCCAGTTCAGGCGAACTGGTAGTGGCAGCGGTCATCACGGATGCTCTGCGCATGCACAGAAGCATGGCACATGAGCGAAGTGAGCGCGCACACTGCACGCTCACTGTTCCAAACCACTAGCGAAGGTAAGTGGAACCCACTACTGCTCCAGGGTAATGAAAGACGAAGATGCCCAGCAGAAAGACTTTTGTGGAAACAAATGCAGCAACTCTATAGTGTTCAAGTGTAGGACAAGAACCAATGGATGGCAGTTTTAGCAAAGGAAATCCAAATTCTAAATAAAGAGGAATTTCAGGACCATGAGAATGAATAAGTAGTGAGAGTTGCTGCTGCACCATCATTGAATACTTTCATTCAAAGTTGGAGAGTCAAATATCCTAGATAATTCCAAAGCTTTCATATTGATTTCAACATCACATTAACATATTAAGATTTTTCCATAAATCTGGATTTTATTGTTTTACAATTTTATTGTTTTATTATTTTATTATCTTATCTTATTATTTTATTTTATTTCATTATTTTATTTTATATCACATTGTGTAGCCATTTTAAATAATGACATGTACATTAATGTACTTTATGTATATTAAAATACCATTCCACTTTTTATATATATTAAAATATTATTCCAAAAAGACACCAGATGATCATATAACCCCACAATATGAATCAATGATTCCTCAAATTGTTTTATACCTCCAACAAAGAAAGTTGATTATCCTTTCAAGCACCTTCTTTGGGGAGTCCAATATGGTCATAATACAAGTTTTTGATGAATCAATATCAAATACATTGATACATTTTAAAGTTTGTAAGGACATGAAGCCCTTGACAGGGCATTAGCAAAGATTTTTATTCTTGAGTCCATGTTTTGAATATCTCAGAAGTTCCATTTTGAAAATATACTTAAACTTTAAATAGAGATATTTTACTTCTTCCACGGATTCCTTCAAATAATTGAGTATCTCAGATGCTTTTGAAGCAGCCAAAGCATCTGGTGTACATGGATCCATTAGGACATACTTAAGTTGAAATATACCACCGCTGTTGTGAACTGGAAGACCAAATTTAATTTGAAGTCAGGCTAAATCCTAAAAACAACCATTATATAATAAATAGTTTAAAGTCACAAAAGCTTCTACTCCAGGTTTCCAATAGAACCAATGGTGGGTTGCCCCTGGTTTGGACCGGTTCGCAAGAACCGGTAGTAAAACCGGCAGGAGGCTCCACCCAATGACCTGGATGTCATCAGGAAGCTTCTGCACAGAAGCCCGTGGCCCCATTGTGAACCGGTAGTAAAGGTAAGTAGAACTCACCCCTGAATAGAACATTTTATCACCTATTTTTAAATTAGATTTTCCCCAAAGATTTAAGTTTTATGAGTTTCATTACCAATATGACCCAAAGATTTTTCAGCACACATACTCCTGGAAATAAAACACCTTTTCTATGATTGATTGGTTGATTAGATTTTTATCCCACCTTTATGGGGGGGCAATGTTAGATAATGTATATATCCCCTCACACTTTCCTGAATTGGTCATTGTCTTGCACCATAACAACTGTGAAACACAGGAAGTCTCTGGGTGACATTGGCCTCATATTTACCATTGATTGAGGCAATTAAGGGAAGTTGTGCTACCTCCTTTGGGTGGCAAGCAAATGGGGATGTCTCCTTTTCTGGCAAAGCTACTTGCTATTAGCAGCTTCCTCCCTTTGAGAGTCCTGTTTAAATCATGGAAGGTCCTAAATGAATGAATTCATTAATTTTGATTAAATTTTAGGATTCTTTCTCGCTTACAATAACAGAGTAATAACGCATACTTTTTTTCAATTGCAGAACCAACAGTTAGTGTTGTCCAAGGCAATTTAAGTAATAATGGACCCATCAGCCAAGATCTTTATGATTTACCAAAAAACAGCCACATCCCTTGCCACTATGACTTGCTGCCTCCTCGGGATAGCCCTGCATCTTCAGACAAAGATGAAAACAGTGAATAACCTTTGATGAACATAATCATGTTATCTTGAAAAGTGGAATCTGGTTATTCTTCTTCTGTTTTCCTACCTGCATCCAGTAAACGTTTGCTGTACATAAAGGAGGAGAATCAAACTACAGTTTCTATATACTCACTACTGATGAATAGATGTTAAGCTTGGAAGGTCATGTCAGATTTTCCATCAAACTTAAAAAAAAAAATAAAAGCCAAGCATTTACATTGTGATGCATTGGCTCAACATCCAAGCTTACGGAACAATGCTTGTGAGAACTCTACTGCTCAGAAGAAGCAGCCATCTTTCACTATCTCAACTTATATATGTTGACATACATTTTCTTTTCTTTTTATGACCCTGTAAACCCTTTATTCAGGGTAGGGTCGGGATGACTGAATGGAGCTGAATGTTTACTAGCCGGATGCCCTTCCAGATGCCTACATGCAGTAGAGATTTTCTCTTTGCGCCGTGAGAGGGAAACATCTGCTGCTACAATAGGATTGAACTCTCAAACTTTTGAGTGGGAGGCAAACATCTTCATTACTAGGCCCCCACACTGCTCATAAATGTTGACATACAATCAAGACAGCATAATCTGCCAAATATTCACTTAGCCAAGTAGCCAGGATTACTAATTATGGGTAGGGGTTATAAACAAGAAACATACCACTTTTTCAATGGCAAAGATGGTATAAGGAGATACTCAGAGTATACTCACCACAATCCTGGACTGTTTGGACAAACCTCCAAGATATTTATCACATTGCTGATAATGGAACTATAATACAGAACAGGAATAATTTTGAATAGGAGTGAATCAGTGAAGATTGAAGATTGAATGAATATGTCTGGAGACCTGTATCATGAAATGGGATTTGTCATACCTGTTGTTGGTTCAATACTGGCTATTCTAACTACAATATTTGTTATATGTGAGTAATATATAACAAATACATATACCTATAAGCATTGCGTAAACATATAAATTAAAGGTTTTATTTTTACCAAAATGTCTTCAAGGACCGGATGAGAGAACCCAGATATAACATATGTACATTCTGAATGAGATAAGGTTTCAATTCATCAACAAGGAAGAGTATTCTTCATCTGAAATTAATTGAACCAATCTTTGTATACTTGTTGAAAAGGTACCTTTTTTATGATAGGAAAGGAATAGGAAAAATATGCTTAAGCTGGACTTTTGCATTGTTGAAAACTTAGCATGCGTAGCCCACATTTCATTAACTTGTATTTTAAAATAATGTAGCTGTGTTTTCTAGTGATTTAGAACAACAATGGTGAAATATTATATTTTATAATCGTGTCAACTCCCCTTATTTCCAGCTTCATGAGATTTAGAGGTTCTGCTTTTATGAAGGAAAATATTATTGGAGTACATCAATTTCCCAACAGACTTAAAAGTTGCAATTTACCAGTGTGTAAACTGTGGCAATATTCAGATTTTTAAAAGACAGGTTTAATATTAAGGCAAGGGTTTATTTATAAGAAAAATATTAAACTGGAGAGAACTTAGATGTGATTAATTCTTTAATTAAAAATGTAATATCTCTGTTTCAAGGGCATTTTTCTTATGCTCTAATGTGCCAATAGCTATGTGCAATTTTCACATAAAAGATAAAAAAATGGCAATCAATCAGCTCTCAATCTAGAATTGTTTTGTGCAATGTAGCTATCCATTACTATATCATTTTTAGCTCTAACAGTAAGAGATTATTCCTTATATATGTATTAAATATAATTGTTGGATTTTTCAGTTTTCAGTTTCCAATTTTCTATTTCTTACCATTCAATTCCTAAAATAAATCATATGTCCTAGGGCTATTAAATTTTTTAAAATATTAATGGCTCAGATCTAACAAAATGGTAGGGTTGGAAAAGAAAAACTTTTCTAGATATTCCAGAAAATAAACCTGGATTGAAACTAAAATGTATTTTACTTCAAAGGCATTCTCCATCAAAAGGTGCTGCCACAACTTGATTTAAACTTGGTAGGCAATGTCTTTGTATACTAAAACACATAATATGCTTGGAAGATGCAAACCTGAAGGACAAAAGAACAGCGTTTTGCAATTTAAGCAGTTCAAATATCTTGCTGAAGGATAAGGTTGGAATAGTGTCTGAAATAGCTCTGTTGGCTTTTGTGTCACGGTATAAAGCTTACAAATAAAGACTATCTTTTTTTGAACTGGACTTCAGTCTTAATTTATCAGCAATTTAAGAGTAAAGCAAATTGGATTAGTATCTGAAGAATTCCTGAATTTCATTTTGTCTCATATTAAGAAAGAATGTAATGGAAAATGTCAGTAAAAGAAAAGCTATATAAAGGAAATAAAATCTGGGCTCTCAAATGTTACAGGGTACTCAACTGTATGCACATTGTCTCCATTGGTGCTGGCCAGGCTCCCTATTCCAAAATTCCTGTCTTTGTGTTAATTGTTAAATAATTGTAAATGTTTATTTAAATAAAAGGACACTAGCAGATAGTCTAAAATTGTAAAATCATTTCTTTCTTTATCTCCGTTTCAATTGGCAGGAATAATTTTCATATAGTTGAAAAGTAGTAAAAAAAATGAGCAGGTTAAAATATTGTGGGATTTCCAATTTCAATCTGATAACATTTTGGCTTATAACACACCAGATTTAACTGTGGCTGAAAAAAAGAAAATGTGTAGATCATAATTCAGCTCCTAGGATAGTTTGTTGTTATATTGTTATCATAATTTTAATAGTTTTCAGTATGTTATTGTGCAAAGGAGTATTTATTGTCATTTTATGTTTTAAATTGAAGGGGAAGTAGTGATATGTCATTGCTGGTTGAAGAACAACCTTTCTATAAAATGGACTTCACGTTTAGTGTTTGTCACTCCTCTTTTTATTAAGTGATAATAAAGATTCTTCTGATATCCAGCATGAAGATATTTACCTACAGAAATGTGAGACATTAAGTATGTGGTCTCAGAAGTGGTTGCAGATTCCCAAGTCCTACAGAAGAATTCAGGGGGGTGGGGTGGAATAATAATACTTTAGACCTGACGCATGTGGTTAAAATAATTGTGTAGTTTGCCTATTGTCTATTTCACCATCCTTTACCTCTATCAGGAAGCTTAGCCGAGAACCAGAGAATGAAAACAGCAGTTCTAACTGTACAGGTCCTCATCAAGAGAAGATTAAAAAAATAGATACTGTTTTACAAGTTTCTTTCCTGTTATTTCTGGTATCAGAAGAAGCCCTGAAAATATATGTGGAATTATGGTAAGTAGAAGAAATTCATACTTTGGAAGGGCATCTGTTTTTTATTTAAATCTTATTGCAATAAACAATGAGATTGGATATTATCAATGCTGGGTTCATACTCCAAGGGATAATGAACAAATAGACTTACATGTTAAAGAGCAGCGATAGAGAAGGCAAGACTGAGGATTTAGAAATACGGATGCAAAACAAACATGTTGACTGATGAAGACTGATGCAAGATGAATTTCTGTTTAAGCTATGTTTCCTATAAAGAAAGCAAAGAAATCCAGATGCTGTATTAAATAAAAATATTATCCATTCATTGTTACTGTATTCATTTACATTCATGTTTACTTGTCACAAGAAGAAAATACATTATTTAGTCCATTAGAATTCCCAACATTATATAGCCAGCAATTATCTTACGGCAGTTACAGGTTTCTTAAAATTAAGTTGTAATCGCTTTATAATTAAAAGAAATGTAGGAACAACTCTCTGAAATCCAAAAATTTTATTCACCAAATGCAAGTGACAGAATTAAGTCCTTGCCACTATCTCGAAGGTCCAGGAGAGGGCAGACTTACCACAATTTTTCCCTTTGAAATGAATATGCCCTGAATCAGTCACCCAATTTTGTATATTTTCAATCAATTTAATATAAAAAACGCCTACCCAGTTACACCAGTACATTTTTATTTATTTGCTTTTCTGATCGCAAACCTGCCACATGAAATATAATAGTAACCCAGAAGATACACTGTAATCACTTTGGAAGCTCTAAATTAGAAGGAATGATAGCATTTATCGGGTTTTATTAAAAGGCATTTGCTTTTATGAAGTGCAGTTTCCTTCATGAAATGGTTGAAATGGCTAAAAAGATGTAGGATTTTGGGCAATGATAGACTCTGCTCCCACAAACTTTTGAAGCCCATGTGCATAAGTTTTCTGTAATTGATTTATTGTTTCCCACATATGTACATTCTTAGAGACATATATGAGAAATTTTTCCTATCTGCTCCCTTTTGACATCTTTTTTATGTGTGGTATGAAAAAGAAATGTTACTGGCTATTATTGCAGGAGAAAAAAATTGGGAGGGGAAATAAGTTTCATTTCTTTATTTCTGTTGTTTGGGTTTTGTGAAATAATCTTTAGGGTGATATTATCGTAAATGGATGCCAGCATTGTCTTGGAAAAAAATATGTGGGTAGGGCAGTGATGGCAAACCTTTTTGTCCTTGGATGCCAAAAGTGTATGTGCACATGCGCGACAGCGTGCATGCGTGCTGGCACCCATAATGCAATGTGTGCCCCTGATCCTCCCCTGCGCTCCCCCACGCATGTGCCCCACCGTGCCCCATTTTGGACCTCGAAGCCTCCTGCATCAAACTTTGCCAGCGCCAACGGTCTGCTGTGGAGGCTTCTCCTGCCAGCCTCGCACTCTGTGCAGCATCCAGCCAGCCAGCCATGCTGGACACTGCCTGGAGTGTGAGGCTGTTCACACTGGCAAAAGTTGGTGCAACCCCCTCCCACCACTTCTTCCAAGGGAGCATGATCATTCCCAGCCGGCGTGCCTCTTACTGCTACCTTTGGGATTGATCCTGAAGCAAGTCCTGCCTGACTCCCCTTCAAACACCACCCCCTCCCCAGTCGAAGTGAGGGCCCAAGCTCATCTCCTCTCCCCCGGCCCTTTTGGACCAGAACATCCCAATGCCAGTGCCATCCCCCTTGGCAAGGGGGCAGGATGCTGCACCCAGCAGGAGGGCTTCCTGGGAGGGCAAGGGGAAAGGAGGGGTCCTGGTCCTCACCCCTCTTCCACAAGCCCATCTCATCCCCGAAGCTCCCCAGTGACAGACACCCCTCCCTCCACCTGCCAGCACACCCGAAATCCAGAAAAGTTCCTGGTCGGGGCGATGGGGCTAGAGCCGCGCATGCTCCTCCTCTCACCAGCTTTCCAGAGGAATCCAGCAAAGCCAAAGCGCCAGCGGCCAAGACAGATCTGCACCAGCAACTCCCTGCCTGGGCAACACCCCCACACACACATCACCCTCCCTCCAGGCAGGGATGTCTCCCCTGGCTTGGAAAGTTGCTCTTGGTGGCGCACAGTCCTTTAAAAGAGGAGGAGGAAAAGGGGGAGGCAAGGCTGCTTAGAAGAGAACTCATCCCCTCTCTTTTAAAGAAGAAGCTTCCTTGCCTCCATACTGGAGGCCTGGGGCTGTGCAAGAAGCCCATTTGGGTGGAGAGACAGGGAAGCCCCGGCCCACCCATCCTTGCCACCACCACCCCCTCAGCCCCGGCAACAGCAGTTGTTGTGCTGCTGTTTCCTTGGCAGTGGCAGGAGCAGCTGCGGGGCAGAGAGGGTGGTGGTGGGCTATGGCGGCAGGCTGTTCATGCCGGCTAAGAGGCAGTGGCTTCTCCTCCTCCTGCCAGCCTTGCTGTAAACCTCGGAGTTTGCCTTACGGGGAGGGGGAGAGAAAGGTCCTGGGTGGGAATGTCCATGGTGCCAGTGACTACAGCCACACTCTGGAGAAGCCCCGTCGGAGTGCCCAGATCAGCTGTGAGCATGATGGCGGCCAGTGCAAGAGAAGCAGAATGCCAGACACTCAGCTCTGCAGCCCCACGGAGCTGGTCAGGCGATTTCCGGCATGGCCTGCGCCGGCAGGGCACGGAGCTTGCCTACATAACTTTGCTGGCACCACTGCCTCTGCAAAGAGGCAGCAGGGGAAGGCCGTTCGCACCAGCAAACAGTTATGTAGTTATATTAAGTTATGTAGGCAAGCCCTGGGCCCCGCCAGCATGCTGGAAACCGCCCAACCAGCTCTGCAGGGCTGCAGAGCTGAGCATCTGGCATCTTGCTTCTCTTGCGCTGGCTGATGCCATGCACACAGCTGATCGGCGCTCCAATGGGAGTTCTCTGGAGCATGGCTGCAGCCGCTGGCACCATGGACATTACCCCCACAGGACCTTTCTCCCCCCCTTAAAGCAAACCCCGAGGTTTATAGCGAGGCTGGCAGGAGGAGGAGGAGCTGTCGCTGCCTCAAAGAGGCAGCACTGCTTTGCTGGCGCGAATAGCCTCCTACGTGCGCCGGGAAATAAACTTCCGGTTTCTGGCACAGCCGCATGCATGAAGGCCTGCTGAGACTAGCTGGCCACTGCGCATGCATGCGCCGGAAACCCAGAAGAGGAATGGGCACAGCCGCGTGTGCCAGTGACATGGCTCCAGGTGCCACCTGTGGCACATGTGCCATAGGTTTGCCATCATGGGGGTAGGGGAATACTTTCAATAGATATTGATGCCCATGAAAGGCATGTTGTTGCTATGTTTATGTTTCTTTAGATTGGTTCCTTCATGCCAGCAGAAAACAGACAGCTCACTAGTTCTGCAGTGAAGTCTGACAACTATGTCCTGACACTATTGCCTGACTGTCTGGTAGGCAGTTTCTTGTGAACAGTCCAAGAACTAAAACAACAATCAAACTCACAGTTTTCTATTTTAATGGTCCAGGCAGATAGCATTTGAGGAAGGCTGCTGGGATGAGTCTTCCCGTTCACCTTTATCTTTGGCTTTAATAGGGTTACCAGATCCTCAAGTTACCAACAGAACTTGTTTGGCAGCTCAGATCTGATAGCTGAAAGTTTTAGCCTTAACTTTATTTACAAAGCTAAAGGGTTTTTAACATAGTGAACAAATGCTATTTATATAATGTCTCAATATTCAAATATTTTTCCTTAGCCCCTTATTTTTAGGTTTTGAATTATAGCCACATTTGCTTGCTTGCCCTGCTCTACCCTCACTACACACACTACTCAGTGCAGAATTGTTCATCTAAATTGTTCATCTGATCTAAAGAAGAAGCTCAAGGAGAGTCCTCTGCCTCTTTATTAGCCACCCACTAATTTTTCTGATACCCTGTTCTTAATCGTTGTCATGGATCCTGATCTCCTAGGAGAAGCTTTGGCAAGGCATGGATGTCTTCTAAACATTCCTGGGGGGAAACAAATTATCTGAAAGTCTTCTTGATGCAATTCATATAGTTGTAAAACATACTTAAAGACATTATTATCATTATTGGTGTGTTTCTGGGTTCAATTCAAGGTGCTGGTGGTTACCTATATAAGGCTTTATAGCAGGGCTGTCAAACTCCCGGCCCGCGAGCCGGATGTGTCACACACTGACCATACCCATACCCGGTTTAGCGAAGGGGGGGAAAGTCCCGATACATCCCATGACGCCTCTGTGACAACGTGAGTTTGACACCCCTGCTTTATAGGTTACCACCAGCACCTTGAATTGAATCGAGAAACACACTGAGAATAGAATAGGATAGGATAGGATAGGATAGGATAGGATAGGATAGGATAGGATAGAATAGAATAGAATAGAATAGAATAGAATAGAATAGAATAGAATAGAATAGAATAACAGAATTGGAAGGGACCTTGGAGGTCTTCTAGTCCAACCCCCTGCCCAGGCAGGAAACCTTACACCACTTCAGACAAATGGTTATCCAATCTCTTCTTAAAAACTTCCAGTGTTGGAAGTCCCAACTTCTGGAGGCAAATTGTTCCACTGGTTAATTGTTTGAACTGTCAGGAAATTTCTCCTTAGTTCTAAGTTGCTTCTCTCCTTGATTAGTTTCCACCCATTGCTTCTTGTCCTATCCTCAGATGCTTTGGAAAATAGTTTGACTCCGTCTTCTTTGTGGCAGTCCCTGAGATATTGGAACACTGCTATCATGTCTCCCCTGGTCCTTCTTTTCATTAAACTAGACATACCCAGTTCCTGCAACCGTTCTTCATATGTTTTAGCCTCCAGTGCACTCTCTGCACTCTTTCTAGAGTCTCCACATCCTTTTTACACCGTGGCGACCAAAACTGAATGCAGTATTCCAAGTGTGGCCTTACCAAGGCATTATAAAGTGGTATTAACACTTCACGTGATCTCCATAAATAAGCCTTACATGACTTGGGACCAGAATACTTGATCAATCACTTTTTTCCAAGAGTCTCTACCCATTCAACTATGTCAAGCAAAATGGGCCTGATGCAGATCCCATCAGACAAAGAATCTTGGCTCTTGAATCAAAGATGACCTTTTTCTGCAGTGACCCCTTTTCTGTGGGACACCCTCTCTTTCGGGATCAGAATGGGCCCAACCCTATTAGCTTTTCATAAAACCTTAAAAATCTGGCTATGATTCTGAGCTTGGGGTGCTGAATATTCCAAGTTTTTCTGATTATATTGCTAACAGGCCAAATATCTTGCTGTTGTGTAACTTGAGTTGGATGTTTTTTTAATGTTTCCACTCATTCTATTGTTTTCGATTTCTATTTTCTATTTCTATTCTATTGTAAGCCACCCAGAATCATTGACTGAGATGGGCAGCCATCATGTTTAATCTATGGGAGTATAGTTATGATGTTTCATGCATAGCATGATGTCATTCCACAATTTCAGCATGCCATTAGAGGTGTGATGTCATTGGTTCCTTTTTGCTCTCAGTGCTCCCGGTATACCCCGTGTAGCTCATGAAATAAAAAGGGATCCAAAAAAGTGTGTAGAATAAAACATTTATAAGATGCCACAATATTCTGCTGACTTTGATGTGCTGAAAGCAATATTAATTTATTCATTTCTTTCCGGGTTTCTTCCATCTCTTCCACATCAAATTCCTGGTTTCTCACAGTGGTAACAAGCAGACCCAGGCAGTTATGCTTGGAATCAGTATCTTGATCTGAGAAAATCCAGCTAAATTATCTGGCACTTTTTATGTTCAAAGGTACAGGCAAATGCCATGGACCTGAAATGATAAGTCTATTTCTAGATCCAGCCTGTGACCCACCTGATCTAATCATAGCCTAGCACCATGTATAGCCATTCATTAGAGGCTTAGCAAGCCACCTATTTATTCTTCCTGCCTCGAATTGCATAAAAAAAGAAGATTGTCATGTAGGACATAGCTGTATATATACCTGGTGATCTTCGCTCGGCCTGGACCATTCCGTTTCAGGCAGCGGGTTCATAAGCTTCAAAGGAAGCTGAAGTAGAAAGCCAGTCTGAAAACAGAGGATATGGGGAAATGGTGAGGTGAGAACTGTGAGCAGCATCTATAACTCAATACTTTTCAGCATTGTGACATAGGAGACGCACAGCTATCTCTGAGAGTTTGCAGTCTTCACTGGAAATCGTCATTGGCTGTTTCACTTTCTACATGGTTTAATAATTTATTCAATTAATAATTTAATTTAATAATGTTAAAGTCCCATTTTACTTCTCAGATTCTTAAAGAATCCTCTTCTATTCACCCTAAGGATTCTCTAAGTGTCTGTAGACTGTTAGAGCTGTCACATTTCCCTAAACTAGGCCAAAGCCAGTTAGCTTATGTTGGAATCTCCTTTTCTATGCCATTCAAATATAATAATAATGATTATCATAATAATATAATTAAAACCTTGCTTCCCCTTCATAGTCCAAACAACTGTCTTACATTGTTTTAATGGTTATCATTCACAACACCCAACAGTTTTGTACTTTACGTGGCCAATCAATCCCAATTGTCAGCTTGATTTGCAAAGTACATTTCTGATTCTCTTTCAGCACATTGTGAACTTAACTGCTCTTCTTGAAGCTTTTATGCTTTACCCACAAGTCAGTTGTAGAATTTAACTTTGCTGTTGATTGCTTGTGATTGCCAATAAATGTAACACAAAAATTCAAAAGATTTTACCAGACTACCATCTGGCAAAGTGAAGTGGGTGAAAACACCCGGCAGTGATTTGTTGTCTTTAAAATAAGATGATGACAACTAGACTGTCAGAATGAGAGAGATTTTACATTTGTGGGATTTTCTGACTCGGGTGTAAGATCTTTTAGTTGACCCCAGATAGATAGAACACAATTTGACATAGATAGTGGTGAGCACCATGCTTCAATATCTTGGATTAGCCTTGAATTAATGATGACAAATATGGCACTATTTTTCATCTTGAGGATTTCTCCAAAGGATAATATTAATCTGGCTAGGAAGATGAAGTGAAAAAGAATTAAAGTGTGAGAGAATTAAAAGGATAGTGGCCAATCATGCTACCATGGTTGTCAAGTAGGATATGATGCCAAGTGCCTGCAGTGGGTGGGAGTCCAGATATATAAGCAGCCTGAACACGACATCAGATTCTAGTGGAAGAGGTGGCAGGCAGGAGAAGATCTGCTTTCCGAATGGCTCTTTGCACCAATGTATATAAAGGGAAGCCTTGGGATGATGAATTTAATAACATTTTATCTAAGGTAGGTCCTGTTTGTATCTCATATATAATAATATTATATAATATAATACAAGGCAATGTAATACTTTGAACGGGTTTTTTTCTTATTATTTTCTTAAGGATATGGAATTGCAAGCAATAGAACAGATCTTCTTTTTCATGTTTGTCATTCTTTTGAATGTTAGTCAATACAGAATTCTGTATAAAGCATACCTTTCATTTTAGTGTGTGTATTCTAATGAACAACATAGCTAAATCAAAGATTTTGATGACGACTGGGGAAACTGGGAGGATGAGAGTGGGGATATCCATAAATATCCAGTTATTCAGAGAACAAAGCTATCAGAATTCATGAAGCTCAGCTTCTATGAGAAAAAAGAAAATTGTCTCTATAATACAGTGAGTACTACGATAGATACAGAATCAATCGAAAATATATAAATTGCCAGAAAGGACTTGGTGAAGATTAGTCAGAAGAATACTGAGGAAAAGAAGAGATGCACTTGAAGTAAACAATAAAGGACCTTTAAAGTCAGCAGTGGTAAAACTGGCAGAACATAAAAGCGGCCAAAAGAACTAGGCCAAAAATAGTAAGTGAGCAAATCTGAATAAACATTGGATGGTAATAATATAAACTAAGATAAAGATTTATTTTATTAAACAAATTTATATAGCTGCCGAATTCACACAAAGTGGTTCTGGGTGGCATATAACATTAAAAATCTACAGTTAAATATTCACAGTTTAAATCCCCCCTCCCCCACCTTGTGGCAATGGCAACAGAATCAAACAAGCCACGTGTCCAATTCTGAATGGGGTCCCCAAACCTGATGAGAAAAACACGTCTTCAAGATCTTGCAGAAAAGCAACAAGGTGAGATATCTTTGGGAGGATGATATTCCAAAGGGAGGGAGCCACCAGAGAAAAGTCCTTGTTCCTAGATCCCACCAGATGTTCTTCTTTGGGACTTGCAATATGCCCTGCCCTCCTGCTCTGTGGGCTGGGTAAATGTAATCAGAGAAAGGTAGGTTGCCCTGTAGGCAGTGGTGGGATTCAAGTAATTTAACAACCGGTTCTCTGCCCTAATGATTTCTTCCAACAACCAGTTTGCCAAACTGTTCAGAAAGTTAACAACCGGTTCTCCCAAAGTGGTGCGAACTGGCTGAATCCCACCACTGCCTGTAGGGGCTTTAAAGGTGGTAACCGGCACCTTGAATTGCACCCAGAAGCAAATCAGCAACCAGTGCAGCTCTTATAAAAGAGGTTGCATAGGCAAATTTGGATTTACACAAAACCATGTAGGCTGCTGTATTTTGAGCCAACTGTAGCTTTTGGATGCTGTTCAAGGGCAACCCATGTAAAACACATTATAATAGTCCAAATGGGACCATGGGGTGGGTGACTGTGACAAGGGCCTGTTGGTCCAGGGTGTAACTTGTGCAGAAAACACAGTTGTGCAAAGGCCTTCCTGACCATGACTGCTGCTTGGTCTTCAATCTGGAGTCACAAGTCTAGGAAAGCCCCCAAATCATGCACCGGGTTTGTCTGGAGCAGTGCAGTTTCTGGAGAATCCCCACAACCTCCACAACAGTTCTGCAAAAACCAAGGATTCCCAGTCACTTGGCCTTCCAGGGTTCGGTTTTAACCTGTTGTCCCCCATCAGGCAGCAGGTTCATAAGTTGTTGTTTAGTTCACATCAACAACCTCCAGGCACCATGAAAGGGTCGTCATGGCATCACTTAACTTACCACAGGCAAAGATGTACAACTGAATATTATCGGCATACTGATAACACATGAGCACATGACGGCCGTGGCCAGGGGGGCCTTTTATCAGGTTCGCCTGATTCGCCAGTTGCAGCCCTTTCTGGATCGGGACGCCTTGCGCATGGTCACTCATGCCCTTGTCACCTCCCGGTTGGACTACTGTAATGCTCTCTACATGGGGCTCCCCTTGAAGAGCATTCGGAGGCTCCAACTGGTCCAGAATGCGGCTGCGCGGGTGGTTATGGGTGCAACTCGTTGCGCCCACGTGACACCCCTCCTGCGCGAGCTGCACTGGCTCCCAGTGGTCTTCCGGGTGCGATTCAAGGTGTTGGTTACCACCTTTAAAGCGCTCCATGGCATAGGACCCGGGTACCTTCGAGACCAACTTCTGCCACCAATAGCCTCCCACCGACCAGTCCGCTCCCACAGAGAGGGTCTCCTCAGGGTGCCATCGGCCAAGTTATGTCGGCTGGCGACACCCAGGGGGAGGGCCTTCTCTGTGGGAGCCCCAGCCCTGTGGAATGAACTGCCCCCGGAAATACGTAAGATCTCCGACCTCCGGGTGTTTCGCTGCACTCTGAAGACCCTGTTGTTCCGCCAGGCCGGGCTATTAACATAACGTTTTAAATTGGGGTATTTTAAATTCCTGGGATTTTAATTGGAGCCTAATTATTTAATGATTTTAAATTTTAACTGTTGTTTCTGTTTTTGTGTTTTTAAATAGGCTGTACACCGCCCTGAGTCCTTCGGGAGAAGGGCGGTATAGAAATAGAAATAATAAATAAATAAATAAATAAAATATCTCACCCTGTGGTGATGTATGATCTCACTCAATGCTTTCATGTAAATGTTAAACTAGGAATGGAAAAAGTGGAGTAAGCACCTACCCAAAGCAGGGGCCGAGGGACAGATCTCTGGCTCCCAATCAACACCAAATGGAAATGGTCTCAAAGAATGGAGTCAAACCAGAACAGCAATAGATTCCAACCCCCCACCCCCAGTCTGCTAGCAATGTAGGCTAGGCTGTATTGGTCGTTTCAGGGAGACCCATATTTGACTGAATTAGATGCTGGCTAGTGAGGCAGGACTGGCAGGAGTGCACTGGGTTTGGATGAGCTCTCTTCCTCCCAATGGAGGGGGCCATTGGGGACATGCCAGAATGGGGAGCAGGGATTCAGTTTTTCTTGTGGTCTGCTGCTTCCTTTGTTCCTTTCCCCCCAAGAAAAGTGGTAAGTAATTCTGTAGGTCAGCCAAAAAGAAGGAAAAGGTTTCACCGAGACACACTTGAGGGTTGTGAGGGAACGAGAAATGGCACAGGCCTAAAATAAATGTTGAAAGAAGAATGACCCAAGGGACTAGGGCTGTCCAGTTTCCTTTTAAAATTTATATATTTCACCAAAAGGAATATTTGCATAGGTTGTTGTACTTCATTGCTATACTGTAAGAAGTTTTCTTGCTTTGTTCACATTATTTAACTGTGGTTTTATCAAGTAATGCAAATTTTTTTTTTGCATTACCCAACACATTGAGCCAAGAATTGGGTTTGCACAATATTTGAGTTTAATATACACTTGGCTAGCTGTGATTCAGAGTCATACAAACACACCCACAGTCTTGACCTTCTTTTTAGGTTCCAGGAAAGGTTTCACAAGCCATTTTTACTGATCTGCTAATTCAAACCATGCCCAAGATTGGTAATTCAGAATGACTTGATTAGTAAGAGCTTAGAGAGGCCAAAGTAAACTAGTAATTAGCTTTCTCGGTGCTTACTTGGCCCACCGACTGGTTGGCCTTCTTATATGTGCACTGCGTTTGAAAGCAACTTGAGAAAGCTGAGGTGCAGAGCAGAAAGCAACATAAACAAGTAGAAGAAAGTGTTACTTTAGGATCACTGTTTAGAAAGAGGAAGTGTATGACGCTGACAATGCTGACATCAAAGTATAGCAAGATTAAAATTATCTTGCAAATAATCTTATATAGGATTTCACTGAGTAGGCATTCCGCAATTGAGTTCATATTTGAGTTCACTGCTGCTGCCTGGACTAGAAGACATCCAAAGTCCCTTCCAACTCTGTTATTCTGTTTGTCTTCTGTCCTACCTTTAGTGATGGCCAACATCAAATATACTTACTGATAGTCCTTGTTTAACAACCACTTGTTCAATGAACATTTGGAGCTACAACAACACTTAACAAATGGTACTTATCACCTGTCCTTGAAGTTCTAGCTCCTCTGCAGTTATGTGATTGTGATCTGGATGCTTGACAACCGACTTGTAATATGAAAGTTGCAGTGTCCCACAATCATATAATTACCATTTGCAACCTTCCCTGCAAGCTTCCCACAAGTTGTCAGTGGGAAAGCTGGCAGGGAAGCTCACAAGTTACTCCAGTTAGTTGCTCGTACTCTTCCCTACCTATCAGCAACCAACGCTAGCCCTACATGTTGGTGATGTACCGTGCATGCCCCTGTGAACTCCTCCCCACCTAGCAGCATCCACTTACATCCTTGCCAGCCTGCTTGAAAACCAATTAGTCTCACCTTAATGAAACACCATCCTCACTTAACAATGGCAACAGTGAATTCTAGCAATGCCATTGCTAAGCAATGTGGTCATGTGATGTTGCGCTTAGTGATGGAAATTCAATATTGTTAACCAAGAACTACCTGTATAAACTAATTGCTTTAGTCAGAATAACAGAATAACAGAGTTGGAAGGGACCTTGGAGGTCTTCTAGTCCAACCTCCTGCTCAAGCAGGAGACCCTATACCATTTCAGGCAGGTGTCTGTCCAGTCTCTTCTTAAAAGCCTCCAGTGATGGAGCACCGACAAATGCTCTGAAGGCAAGCTGTTCCACTGGTTAATTGTTCTCACTGTTAGAAATTTCTCCTTGGTTCTAGATTGCTTCTCTCCTTGATTACTTTCCATCCATTGTTTCTTGCCTTGCCAGATTTACACAACTCCTGCAGCCTTTCTTTATATGTTTTATCCCCTAATCCTCTAATCCTCTTTGTTGCTCTTTTCTGTACTTTTTCCAGGATCTGAATATCTTTTACATAATATGGTGACCAAAACTGGATCAGTATTCCTAGTACCACTTATAAAGTGGTATTAGTACATTACATCACCTTGATTCTATCCCTCTCTTAATACAGTCTAAGATTGCATTGGCTTTTTTGGCTGCTGCTGCACACTGCTGACTCATAAATAATAATAATAATAATAATAATAATAATAATAATAATAATAATAATA